TCCGCTCTCGTTCTCCAGGTGTATTTTAAATCTACAACAACAAACAGAAGACCTCATTACCTGCATGCTCGAACCTTACATCAACGCATGTCGGAGATGAGCCCGGCCTTCAAAGCAGCACGGATGCCAGATCCGTTGTAGACTTCCACAGCAAGGCAGGAAACTAAAAGCAAAACCGGAGCGACCGGCGTGATCAGGGCGGAAGCCAAGCGAACGCTCGCAGCGTCAAAGCGGCATTGTAGGTTCAGGCCATTCTTCAGGCTTGCAACTGAAAATTGCAGAACCTGGCCAGAGTCGAAAGTTCCGGAAAACACAATTTTCTATCTATAACAATTGGCTTGCAAACAACTATGCATTTGACAACATTTGAAAACTGTAGATTGCAGGGGCTAAATGTCTAAGTAATTACTTCCAAACCCTCTTCACACCTCTACATACGGCAGTTCCCACAAGGATGTTGAACTCTGCGCTTGTTCTTCTCGTTCTTCTTTGGCAAGCACGGCAAGAACAGCCCACACCTGGCATGTTTGCAATAGGATGGGCGCCTGCCCCTTGATCTTCTCTTTCAGCGCAGATAGCGCAGATGCTTCGGGTAGTTTTGCCTCTCCCGGCGTTCTCTGCTGTAGCCACAAGGCCAACACTGAAGCTACTGTCAAAGTAATGGCCGCAGATATGGCGATGTGCAAGAGCTCTGGCATGGCATCTCTGCTTGGACACACTTCGCACATATTGCTGGCGGCATAGTAACCTGCCGCGCAATCCGAGCAGAGAATGCCGCTGTAGCCACCTGCGCAGCCGAGAGTGCTTGCAGCATTGGCGGACACGTTGCACCTGGTGTTTTTTGGGGGAAGACAGGGACGTGCCGTGGTGTCTTTCTCCTGAAGCTGGGCATGGCCAACTTCCGGCAGGCCTGAGGATAGCAACATGCCTGGGTGTGGGCAACGTAAATGGAAGTTGTAGCATGGCAGGCATTCATCCTTCCCATCTTTGGACCGGTTGGAGCCCTCCCCAGTAACACATCCACAGCGCTCCGTGCCGTTGTCATTGTAGCGTTCGCCCACGGTGCAGATGCATGATGTGGATCCTTCGGGTGCAGTGCTTCCTTCCTCACACTTCTGGCAAGATCCGTTGTACTCTCCATTGAAGTAGTTCGAAGGACACTTCTTACAGTCTGCTCCCGTACCATTGAAACCAGCAGAACAGCTGCACAACTCCTTCGGCAGAAACTGCGACGGCGTGATCTGCAGTGCTTTTGAAGTGAACTCGAAACATGCGAATCCACCTTCGACGCTCACCGAGGAGCGCTTGTCCGTACGGGTGAGCTGACCCCCTTCCAGGAGCTCTTGGGCCTCCTCGGTTGCGATCTGCTGCGATCAACGAGTCCACGGAAAAGGGATTGATTGAAGGTTTCGAAAGATTAACGATAGACAATCGAACAGAAGTGTTTCAAGAGTAATATGTTGCTTGCTTTAGAATCTAGAACGCAGGTGAGTCCCAGGGATGAACGGGCACCCAAAAGTGCCCTCGATGGTCGGGAAAATGATTGGACAATGTTGATAGAACAATTCGCATATGCTGATGAAGATTTTGGCATAAATCGAAATCAAGATTCAGTCTTGTTCTCCAAAGTGACATTCTGCAAGTCCAGGAATATCCCGTCGGATACAGCCTTGGCAAGAACCCCGGCTGCAAAGGCTACTGACGGGTTGTCTGCTAGCAACAGGGCCTGCACACTCTGTGGGATCTCCTCGATGAAGGACATTTCGTTGGACGACACATCCAGACTCACCAAGGACCTCGCCAAAGGAGCAGCCCAAGAAGCCCAAGAGCGCCCGTCAACAACAGCGGACATGTGAGCCAGCTGGGGAAGACTTCCAAGGAGGCCGCAGCCGTCAGCCTTGATCGTGGCTAGAACCCCAGAAGCCAAGAGAGGCTGCAACATGTCTTTGACGCTGCTCCGCAAAGCACATCCAGATATGTCCAGCAACCTCAGCTTTGGGAAGATGGCGTTCTCTTCTTGCGTGTGAATCATCTGAAAATCCATCTGATCCTCAGCAGTCGGCAAGAATTCAACCTGGCTGTGGCTTAGCTTCAAGGACCCCAGAAGTGCACAGCGGCCCCGCCAGGAAGTTGTAAGCCGCCCAGTAGCCATTGTGCGAGATAGGTCCACCGACTCGATTTCTGGCCACTCGGTGAGGACGCCGATGTCACCAAAGACCGAGGTGTTGGACAAAGCGAGGTCCGTCATTTTGCTGTGGCCTTGCAAGCTGCTGATGTCACCGGAGACCCGTGTGTTGCTGAGGAACAGCCCCTGCAGCTGGGGGCTGTTTGCTAGGCTGCAGATGTCTCCGGAGACCCGTGTGTTGCTGAGGCCCAGACGCCGCAGCCGGGAGCTGTTTGCTAGGCTGCTGATGTCACCGGAGACCTGTGTGTTGCTGAGGCCCAGCTGCTTGAGCCGGGAGCTGTTTGCTAGGCTGCTGATGTCCCCGGAGGCCTGTGTGTTGTCGAGGTCCAGCCGCTGCAGCTGGGGGTTGTTTGCTAGGCTGCTGATGTCACCGGAGACGTGGGTGTCGTCGAGGGACAGCTGCTGCAGCTGGGGGCTGTTTGCTAGGCTGCGGAGGTCCCCGGAGACCTGTGTGTTGCTGAGGCCCAGCTGCTTGAGCCGGGAGCTGCTTGCTAGGCTGCTGATGTCACCGGAGGCCTGTGTGTTGCTGAGGAGCAGCTGCTGCAGCTGGGGGCTGTTTGCTAGGCTGCGGATGTCACCGGAGACCTGTGTGTTGCTGAGGAACAGCCACTGCAGCTGGGGGCTGTTTGCTAGGCTGCGGAGGTCTCCGGAGACCTGTGTGTTGCTGAGGAACAGCCACTGCAGCTGGGGGCTGTTTGCTAGGCTGCGGAGGTCACCGGAGACGTGTGTATTGGTGAGGTACAGCTTTTGCAGCTGAAAGCTGTTTGCTAGGCTGCGGAGGTCCCCGGAGACCTGTGTGTTGCTGAGGCCCAACTGCTGCAGCTGGGGGCTGTTTGCTAGGCTGCTGATGTCACCGAAGACGTGGGTGTCGTCGAGGGACAGCTGCTGCAGCTGGGGGCTGTTTGCTAGGCTGCGGAGGTCCCCGGAGACCTGTGTGTTGCTGAGGAGCAGCACCTGCAGCTGGGGGCTGTTTGCTAGGCTGCTGATGTCACCGGAGACCCGTGTGTTGCCGAGGAACAGCTTTTGCAGCTGAAAGCTGTTTGCTAGGCTGCTGATGTCACCGGAGACGTGGGTGTCGTCGAGGGACAGCTGCTGCAGCTGGGGGCTGTTTGCTAGGCTGCGGAGGTCCCCGGAGACCTGTGTGTTGCTGAGGAGCAGTACCTGCAGCTGGGGGCTGTTTGCTAGGCTGCTGATGTCACCGGAGACCCGTGTGTTGCCGAGGAACAGCTTTTGCAGCTGAAAGCTGTTTGCTAGGCTGCTGATGTCACCGGAGACCCGTGTGTTGCTGAGGAACAGCCCCTGCAGCTGGGGGCTGTTTGCTAGGCTGCTGATGTCACCGGAGACCCGTGTGTTGCTGAGGAGCAGCACCTGCAGCTGGGGGCTGTTTGCTAGGCTGCTGATGTCTCCGGAGACCTGTGTGTTTTTCAGGTCCAGCCGCCGCAGCTGGGGGCTGTTTGCGAAACTGGCTAAGTCTCCTCCTGTCTTGGTGCCTTGGAGGCTGAAGTGCCGCAAAGAGCGAAGCTTTCCGATCTGTTCGTCCACGGTCCCCGGTGCATCTAGAAACTTCAGGTGGATCGCCGTGACTTCGCATCCTTTCCTTGGCTGTAAGCTCTTGGCACGGTGTTGCAGATTTACAAAACCCCTCGTTCGTATCTCTGGACTGTTCCGAGGCTCTTCGTTGCTCAGCAAGAATGACGAAAGATGCGAATTGTGGTCCACAGCGGTCGCTCGTGGCAAGCAAATGCGAGACAAACCGTTGTCCAGTAAGGAGGCGTGTCATTACATGTCATTGTCGCTAGTAAAAGCACTAGCGTATTTGGAGGTCTGCAAGCGGTTTTGTCAACCAGGATATCTCAGAATGTGAACAACATGAAACCTAAAGCCCGGCACATCAGACAAATGTGAAACTCAGACAAGGATCCACTGGATATTTTCTGCGACATGCGACGGATCGACTCCCAGTTTCTTCAGGACGGCTTTCAACGCTGGCCACTGTGGACAGCCTGCCTTCTCTTCTCCTGGGGCAGATTTTGTGTTTCTTAAAAAAACAAACTTAGCAGTGGAACTGCAAATCCTATGCAGGATCTGTTTCGTCACAAATGAACATGCCACCTGCGACACGACTCTGTTCCGCCCGCGAGATGCAACAAAACAACATACACCTGGACGCTGGACGCCTGGATGTGCCAACAACTCATCGACGTCCAGCGCTTTCTGGCCAAGCCGAGAACGTTCTGCAACTGCCAAGATCACGGCCGAGAAATGTAAGTAGACTTGCCGCATCAAAGATATGGACTAGGATTTATCTGTCTACGGACCTAGCTGGCTATGCCGGCACGCTTGCTGTCTCTGGGCCGATTGGCCTTGAGCCAATATTGGCAGCGTGGCCGGCTGCGTGTCCACAACCAAAGCGACAGCCAGCAATCGCTAGAGCGGCCAGCCCAGCAGTTGCCCTGCAGAGCCAATCTGAGCCCGAGCTTCAACCGGTTTCAAGCAGGTGGGTCGGGCCCAGGGTCCGGGCCCACTGGAATTTCAAGCAAAGTCCAAACTTGTTGTGCACCAAAATTGGCTTCCCAGATTTGAACAAGTCAAGGAACTCAGGGAGTGAGGAATGGACGTACAGGTCCAAGTTTTTGGATTATCCCGGCAACTGCTTGGTACGCACAATATCTCACAATGGTGCGCGTTCCTCATGTCAAGTTGGGTAGGAAGTTCTTGAAAAGCCATGTCGAGGGAATCCTAAGAATACTACACAATGAACGAACCCCTAAAACCGTGTCTCATGCCACGACCCTTTTCCCCATGCGAGGAGCGCCTTCTCCTCGGCTTCGAAGAAATTCAAGCGAAGCCTCAGCGCTTCGGCGGGTTCATTTCCGCGCCGCATACGGACCGTGATCTGGCGGGCGAAGGCAAATGGCACGATGCCCTTTATTGGGCTAAGGGGAAAAACAAAGGGCCAGGAGTCTTGTTGTTGTTTTGCTGTTGTTGTTTGGGAATTGTTCCTGGATGTTCTGTCTGGCAGGTGCGATTTTGCTTGGTTCTGTGGCGGTTTTGACTGGCTTTGCACCAGCGCTGTCAACATCCCCGGCTCGATTTCAACATCCTCAGCATCACCAGTTAGCTTTGAATCAAGGTTTGTTTGGGGTCTGGGACGGGGGACGGTTGTTGGCTTAGGTGGGTTCAGAGGGTTTAGGGCTGAGTAGTGTGTGTGTGTTTTTTTTTGGGGGGGGGGGGGGTTGGGATTGCTTTAAGGTGGTTCGGAAAGGTGGGCTACTCAGGGATCGTGTTTTGCTTGTTTAATGAGGTAGGGGTTCGGGTGGGTTTCAGGACTGGCTTGGGGTGGTTGAAGGTTTCGGGTTGGTCTAGAGTTGGCTTCGGGATAGTTTATTGCTGGTTTAGAGTGGGTTTGTTTAGGGCTTTCTTTGAGGATTGGCTTAGGTTTGGTTTTAGGTTGGTTGTTGTCTGGTTTTTGTGGCGGTTTATGGTGGGTTTCCCGGTTTCGGGTTGTTTTAGAGCGGGCCGAGGGCCCGAGACGTGGGCTTACGGGGGGCTTTGGATTCATCGGAGTACGTTCGGGGGCTTGGGTTTGCCTTCAACGGCCCTATAAAGAAGTGGGGACACAGGAAAAAGCCTCAAGAAAAACAGGAAAATTCCTTTAAACAGTAGCCCTCCAAAAACAAATCAAGGGGGGAATCGTGGCAGCTGGCTGTCATCGGGTTGCATCCACTGTCCATCCACAGCGAGGTCTTTTTTGCTGCCTCCTTAGCGAAGATACAAGTCATCGAATTTTGGACGTTCGGGCTGCCAACCACGCAGAAGGCAACAATTTGGTACTCTGCTGCCGGGGCGCTCGTTTTCCTCTGTGCCTGGGCGGTTTCTTTACCAACGGGACAACTGAGTCACAATCTTAGTACTAAAATGGATTCCAGGCCTCCAAACAAACGGCATTTTCGCCTAGATTGGAGTCCTAAGAGAATGGACGGGTTCATGTTTCGACACATTCCCATTTGGCCCATGTCTGTGACTTTCAAGAATTCACCAATTGGACGTCCACAGCACAAGTCCCCAAACATGTGTGCCTGTGCTGCGGGTGTGGGTGTGGGTGTGGGTGTGGGTGGGTGGGTGTCAGTGGGTGGGTGGGTGGGTAGGCGGGCGTGTCTGTGTCTACGTGCAGTCAAATGCATGCCGTACGAATGCCTCCCCTTCTCCTCGATTCTTTACCTAAGCTTCAAACGCAAAACGCTCCCTCGTCTAAACTGCCGCAACGCGGAAGCATGTTCTATTGGCGCTATAAGGAAACCTCAAGTAGGTGACCTTCATTGTGCTAGCTCGTTGTATCTCGGAGTCGGGGAGCTCGTTGCAATGTGCAACTAAATGAATCTGCTGACCGTCAAGGTCCCAGAAATTAGTCAATGTAATCCTGGCCACGTGAAAGGAATTCCCGGCGCAGTGTGGACTCTGAATCTCCATGTCTGTGCCTCGGGATGAAACAAAGGACGCGAAGAATGAAACCAAAGAACACTAGCATGAATCCACAAGAACCATCAGAATTTCCTGAAGTCCGGGAAAAACAGCAACAACATCTACGTTTGGCCCTTAAGAGGGACAGCCGGACTCGGCGTACGAAGCCCAGGCCTGGACCAAAGCCAAACCCCCGGCGAGCACTTCCGCGCCGCTTTGCACCTAGAGCCGCGATGCCGACGTCGATCAGAACTACGCAGGGGAAATTTCGCTCGTTGGCGAGGCCTCGATCTTTGTTCAAGACATTCTCAGATGCCCTGTGGCCATAGGACAAAAAGGGCATCCTTGGCTGATTGAGTTTGAAGGGGCCAAAAATGGAAAAAGGGGGGAATCTGCTGGACAACTGGGCAACACACAGGAACAATCGATGGCCCTGGGAAAGGGAATGAAACCAATTTAAGCCAGTGGAACCCATCTTTCTAACCAAACCAGCCAATCAAACAGACACCTCCCGTTGGCAACAAAGAGAACCAAGCTGAAGCACTTCCTAGGGGCTTGCCAGACTTTGTGGCTTTGAGCAGTTGTTTCCTGTGACAATTCAAGCAGAAGGGCCGTTCACAATTCACAAACACCTCATTCTCTCCAGGGGCCATCAGCAAAGCATCCCAGTCGCTCGCTGAAGGTAACACTCGGAGTTATACAAATTGAACTTACCTAATGGAATAGTCAATAATATTATTAACTATTCAATGGATATAGAAGATGAATGTAAAAATTATAGAAATTGGAGATATAATCAAGAATTGATCAGATGTCATTTAAATCTGAAAAGAATTAATAATAGAAATGTTGAAGATGACATCTTAATAGTTCTTGCTGTTTACAATATCCCACCTTATGATTATGTTAAACAGTTTCTTGAAATCTGTAAGAAAAATATGCAATGGTTGACCGCATATTATGGATGTTGTTGTATCAAAAAAGAAGGAGAAGATGTGAAAGAAAATATCAAACTATTTATTGAAAGTAAAAAGTTGAATGATAAAACACAGTTAGAGATATTAATAATATGTTTAAAATGATGTATGAAATAAGTAAGATATATACACGATTTAATAGTAATCAATTAACTTACTATCCTGAACTTAAATTATAATTCAACCCATAAACCTTACAATAAAACACATTGTAAGATTTATGTTTTGAAATTTTGGGGATTTATATTTTGGGAATTTGGAAAATGATTTTTTGGAATTTGGAATTTGGGATTTGGAATTTGGAATTTAGGGTATGATATAGGTTTAAAGGTAAATTGCCTTAGTACATTATGGAGAAGCAGTATTGCAAAAGATGTAATGCAACTAAACCAGTTGAAGAATTCAACGGAATAAATCAATATTGTATAAGGTGCTTGGAAAAGGAAAGGGAAAAACACCAGAAGAATAAGGAACAAAGACATCAGCAAAGCAACAAATACCGTGAAGAACATAAGAAAGAAATAAATGCCAGAATGACAGAATTTAGCAAAGTCTATAATCAAATTGAAGTAGTTTGTGATATTTGCCAGTGCAAAGTTTAAAAAAACGAAAAAAAAAACAAAAAACGAAAAACAAAAAACACGTGGATGGTCGGAATATAAAAAACTCAGAAGCATAATAACAATCAGAAGCAAAAGGAAACACCAACTACTATTTTGAAGAACAACCTGTTGATATTGAAACAATATGAATTGAAATTACACCATACATTATTGCAAAATGGATGCCAATGATTGATTTGGAAATTATAGAAATTTGGAAAATTATATTTTGAAAAATTGAAAAAACTATTTGTAAAATCTATGTATTAAATCTTGAGTTGAGGTTCTGTTATGAATTATGTTGAAAAAAATGTTGTGAAATGCTAGACTGGCAGGATTATATCTGAATTGGGGCAAGGCCATTGGTAGGTAGGCCGTAGTGCCCCTTCGGTTTCCCTGTCAATACCCACCTTTGCCGGGTCCCCTATGTCACGAACAGGGTCTAGGGCCCTTCTTCACTTCCTTTTGGGGACCATTTCCTGGAAGGTCCCGGCCCCTGATAGATCGCCGGCCTTCCAAAACTCCGAGAACCCCACTGGGCTCCAGCAAAGTGGAGACCTGAACAAGAACGGAAGCCGCCCGAAGCCGAGTGCTTCCCTCAAAATCCCAACTGGAAAATGGGTTGCGACCCAAATTATGGTTGGTGATCTTTACACGTTTTTTGGGGCAGTTTGCAAAACAACAACACGGTGCTAAAAGGGGAACATGAACAAAGACAAAACAGCAGGAGGGTTAGTTGAGTCTGGCGGTGCATACTGTGGGACATTGTGATTGGAAATAGGATGTAAGTGATACTCCCTAGGACGATTTCTTTATCACTTTCAAGGAGATGCCCTTCATACCAAAGAAAGTGGTTGTAAAAAGAAGCTGTCTACAATCCTGCGGGAAATCGTCACTCTTGTTTGGTTTCCCCTTGTAGGAAGAAGGGCAGTTGGAAGTCCCGCGTGCCTGAGGACCAATAGCTACTATCAACTGGCAAAGGCAACTGCTCATGCCAGAAATCGCAAGGCGCTAGCTGTTTCATCGAGAGAAAAACGCTGTTTGAGCTCCTGACGAAGTCAGCAAATCCATCGAGAAGTCAACCTGTAGACACTCACATACTGAGCCTGAACATGAATTCCTTTCATCCTACGACATAAGCCAACGTGCTAGGTCTCCCATTTATCCATCGAAAAAACCTGCAATAATCAACAGCAGCAACGGAATGTTGTAGACATTCTTGCTCTTGAATCAAATCAGTTGAACACGTCATCTTCCTGAAATACTCTCCTTGAAATGGTTCGACTGCATTTTCCCGCCTTTATTCCACGAGTCCGAGACTGAACTACCCTCCCATCCAGCAACATGGAACCTGACTGAGGGCTCCTGGAAGACTATGTTCCCTTGAAATGGACCCTCTGGTGCGTTCCCTGTTTGTGGATGGGAGGGTAATGGAGGGTATTAATTTGCTGTCTCGACTTCGCAGTGCTTTCTGCCAAGAGATAGCGCAACTCGGCATCTCTGCGGCTCGGACTTCTTTCACACGCAGTCGTCTCTACATCGGCAGTTGCAAGGGGCGTGGGACGAGAGGCCATGCAGGTTCTCGCTCATATGAAGGTAAAGGTCTCCTCGCAACAAGACCCCTAGTTTTGCCATGTCCACCCTACTCAGATTGAAGCAAAGAAGGCCTAGACAGGATGAACAAACAAATACGAAATCGCATCATGATTGGCAAGCATATCACAAATCAGTCAAGCTTCGGCGACGACCTCCACCGCTTTGCCATCCTCAAAGGGCGATCTGCGCGAAAAGATTCGAAAAGAAACAAGCATTCCACCACGCAGACTCAATGAGAAACAGTACTTCACAGGAGTAAGCACGGTCTTACCCATCCGTTCGACACCGGAACCTCACCTACCAAAACCCCCAACAACCACAAAACCAACCAGCTACCAATCTACCGGCTTCCAAAACAAGAAAGACAAAAGAACGACTCTGACAGAACAACGACTCCAACGTGTGCCAAGCATCTTCCAGCTTCGAAATCTGCTGCTTCAGCTGCTCCCAGAGGCGTACTGAGAGGCTTTCCGTGCTGTCGGGCCTGAGGGCTAAGAAGGCGCTGAGCAGGAAAGGCAACGCCAAGGCGAAGCGACTCAACCTGGGCAAAGAGGGCCGTCGCGATGATATTCCGGTGACTCGAGCTGCACTCAGTGGTTCTTCGTTACAAGAACATCAGTCTTCGTTCAAACGAGACCGAAAGACTGTTTTGTTTCCCACCAAAACGGACAAAATTGCTGACATAATATTCTTGAACATCCCTTTCTGCTGTTTTGGAGCTTTGAGTGCCAGCCAGTGTCAACAAGGCATTTCAGATCCCTCACTCCTCGCTCGTCCTCTACTGCCAGAAGGCGCCGGAGATCATGTTTTGCCAGAAAGTCATGAAAGGCCTGTTTACAGAACTCAAGTAGTCGAGTGCATCTTCACGCTATCTCACTTTTGCCGCTTCCCAAGAAACCAACCGGGATCCGTGTTTGATAAGCAAACCATCAAGGCCCTGGAAAGGTGTCAAGTCTTCGGTTCCAGCAAAAACCGCCAAGTAGCCAAAACATTTGACAGCTGAAGCTCACTGATGCCAGAGCCAAGCACAGAAAGCAGCAGCATTGGAGAGCGTTGATCTCCAGGGGTTGAGCATACAAAGTTCCAAATATGAACAGGACTCCTTCTTGTCGCAAGGAAACACAAACCGACATGAATTCCGATTTCTGACTTTGGGCCCGTGCTTGAATGGTTGAAACATGTTGAAACCTAATATCACTGGCAGATCGATTACTTCCTGGCCTGTGGCTGCAAAAACGGCTGCACCATTGCGCTTGTTGCGGCCATCAGCAAAGTGATCGCTACTGACAGCTGTACGCCGTCTTCACTGCCTACCACTGACACCAACGCGATGGCGAAAACTTTCTGCAGGATTTCCATGTACACATTTCGGCAACGAGCGTACTTGAGGAATATGGCTTTGGAGCCTGCCAAGACTCGCTCCTCTGCTTCGTTTTCTTCCAAAATGCACCGGTCCATCATGGCTTCAGCAAGTTTTCGGCCCTGCAAGGAGCCAACGTCAACTTTGGCAACCAGACTGATCGCACCGGCGCTGTGAAGCTCATCACTTCGAGAGGATTCACCTTATTCACTCGCGGTATGGCCCAAAAAGCAAAGAACAGAGAACCATATCAGTTCTCAAAACGTAAACAAATAATTTGCCCGCCTGCGATGGGCTTCACGATCACCGTGTCATCCTTCAATTCCACAGTCACACGACCTCGCATAAGTACGGAGATGTAGGCCGCAGCTGCTGCCACCAAACGCCGTGTGAACGTGGCATGCTTGAGGGCCAATTTGTCCTTGGCACGGCAAATTTCAGCGCCATAGCATGCAGCATGCTGCTCCACAAGGATGGAAAAGGAAAAAGATCCTCATTTCGAAAGCTGAGCTCAAAGATTGCAAACGAAAAGTACACGATTCATCGCCCCCCCACAGACTGTGGTTGAACACTTCTTCATGTCATGCGTCAAAATATGTCCAAATGTTGCGCCATGCGCCGGCAAGTCGCTGGTGAAGAGCTTCTTGTTTGCACCAAACACACTTCCAAATCACCATGGTCTGCTGCCAAAGCGACAGTCTCCTGGCCTGGTAAAAGCACCACGTGCTGTCTGACATACAGGTATATGAGGCATCCCGGAACCACAACGCCGTAGCAAAAGGCAGTGGCCATGCCTGTCGCATCCACGTAGGGTCCAAGAGGATCATGATGGCAACGAAGGTGAGGAAGCAACTTGCGGAAAGTAAGCCTCGTGTGGAGCAACATTCGGGATCACATGAAAATAATTCCATCGAAACTAAGAAGACATCATGTTCTCACAGTGTCCCACACTGCCCCTGGCCGCACTCTTTGGTTAGTCAACTCAGCCTTTTACCCAATATTCACCCGACAAAAACATAAACCCCAAAAAAAAACTCAAAAGCGAAAACCTGCGAGGAACTCGGTCGGGAGGAGATTGCCTGCGCCGTCTGCTCTTTGGCAGCTTAACAGCTTTGATGTCGCGGAAGCCCCCCCAATGTACAACATCGTGAGCACCTGCGGCAAAACGACACGACGAGCAACCCGAATCGGATTGAGAAATGGCTGCAAAGAGTTTCTTTCCGGAACGACCCTTTCAGGGTGCACGCTTCAGTAGCTGCACAAAGTCAGCTACAATTACTTTTTGTTGACGGTGCTATTCTTTGGAAGGTGGGAGGTATAGGCACCATGAGGACAACTTGATACTTCTTGCGGGTCTCTCCAAATCATTGGGAACGCAGCCTGCTTTCCGGCGGCCTCGCACTATTTGCAGATGCCGCTGCCTAAATGGGTGCAAAAGCAAACGGGAAGAGCTGCTGCCGAAAACTTGAATCCTATAATAATAATCTCATGGCAAATTGTCTTTTCACGTTTACTTGTAAACTGACTGTTGTCAGCATGATTCCGTGGTGAATCTGTTTGAGGCTGTACTTCATTCGAGCCCGATTGGCGAGAACCCGAGCTGCACAGTACTTATTATGGTTAGTCTCTGAGAGTCGTGTGTGTGCGTGTGTGCGTCAGCGGCCTCACGGTTGTAGAAACATTGCGAGTAAGACGAACGGTTGGGCGAATGTGGGCGCAGCGTGAACAGAATATGTGGCGCAGGTGTTGCGCGACTGTTGCGTGGCGTCGGCGGCCAGATTTTGCGCGAAAACCTTCTTTTGGCGCGAAAGGTCAGGAAAGCGTGACGGCAGCGTAAATGCAGGGACCGCTCCATTGTCCTGTCGCACAAGTATTGCCCTTACAAGTGCTGCCTGCCTTCCGCTGCTGTACTACTCCGCTTGAATAGAATGCTTGTCGGCCGTGGGAACGCATTGAAAGCAATGCTTGGGGTTCAATAATGCCCAAATCAGCGAACGAATGCCGTGTCCACAACTAGTGCTGCTGAAAAAAGGGTCTCTCCCCGCAACATTTTGGGTCGGCCTGCGTTTTGCGAGCATTGCGTCGTAAGACGTGCGAGAAGCGGGCCATTGCAATCTCAAGGTCTTTGGATTGTGTCGTGCAACAGGCCTGGCTTACGCTTCCGACTTTCGGCAGGTCTCGTCTGCACTTTTCACGATACATGCACTGATATTAGCTCTTTGGAGGGGTCCGCTCTCGTTCTCCAGGTGTATTTCAAATCTACAACAACAAACAGAAGACCTCATTACCTGCATGCTCGAACCTTACATCAACGCATGTCGGAGATGAGCCCGGCCTTCAAAGCAGCACGGATGCCAGATCCGTTGTAGACTTCCACAGCAAGGCAGGAAACCAAAAGCAAAACCGGAGCGACCGGCGTGATCAGGGCGGAAGCCAAGCGAACGCTCGCAGCGTCAAAGCGGCATTGTAGGTTCAGGCCATTCTTCAGGCTTGCAACTGAAAATTGCAGAACCTGGCCAGAGTCGAAAGTTCCGGAAAACACAATTTTCTATCTATAACAATTGGCTTGCAAACAACTATGCATTTGACAACATTTGAAAACTGTAGATTGCAGGGGCTAAATTTCTAAGTAATTACTTCCAAACCCTCTTCACACCTCTACATACGGCAGTTCCCACAAGGATGTTGAACTCTGCGCTTGTTCTTCTCGTTCTTCTTTGGCAAGCACGGCAAGAACAGCCCACACCTGGCATGTTTGCAATAGGATGGGCGCCTGCCCCTTGATCTGCGCTTTGAGCGCAGATAGTAGTTTTGCCTCTCCCGGCGTTCTCTGCTGTAGCCACAAGGCCAACACTGAAGCTACTGTCAAAGTAATGGCCGCAGCTATGGCGATGTGCAAGAGCTCTGGCATGGCATCTCTGCTTGGACACACTTCGCACATATTGCTGGCGGCATAGTAACCTGCCGCGCAATCCGAGCAGAGAATGCCGCTGTAGCCACCTGCGCAGCCGAGAGTGCTTGTAGCATTGGCGGACACGTTGCACCTGGTGTTTTTTGGGGGAAGACAGGGACGTGCCGTGGTGTCTTTCTCCTGAAGCTGGGCATGGCCAACTTCCGGCAGGCCTGAGGATAGCAACATGCCTGGGTGTGGGCAACGTAAATGGAAGTTGTAGCATGGCAGGCATTCATCCTTCCCATCTTTGGACCGGTTGGAGCCCTCCCCAGTAACACATCCACAGCGCTCCGTGCCGTTGTCATTGTAGCGTTCGCCCACGGTGCAGATGCATGATGTGGATCCTTCGGGTGCAGTGCTTCCTTCCTCACACTTCTGGCAAGATCCGTTGTACTCTCCATTGAAGTAGTTCGAAGGGCACTTCTTACAGTCCGCTCCCGTACCATTGAAACCAGCAGAACAGCTGCACAACTCCTTCGGCAGAAACTGCGACGGCGTGATCTGCAGTGCTTTTGAAGTGAACTCGAAACATGCGAATCCACCTTCGACGCTCACCGAGGAGCGCTTGTCCGTACGGGTGAGCTGACCCCCTTCCAGGAGCTCTTGGGCCTCCTCGGTTGCGATCTGCTGCGATCAACGAGTCCACGGAAAAGGGATTGATTGAAGGTTTCGAAAGATTAGCGATAGACAATCGAACAGAAGTGTTTCAAGAGTAATATGTTGCTTGCTTTAGAATCTAGAACGCAGGTGAGTCCCAGGGATGAACGGGCACCCAAAAGTGCCCTCGATGGTCGGGAAAATGATTGGACAATGTTGATGCAACAATTCGCATATGCTGATGAAGATTTTGGCATAAATCGAAATCAAGATTCAGTCTTGTTCTCCAAAGTGACATTCTGCAAGTCCAGGAATATCCTGTCGGATACAGCCTTGGCAAGAACCCCGGCTGCAAAGGCTACTGACGGGTTGTCTCCTAGCAACAGGGCCTGCACACTCTGTGGGATCTCCTCGATGAAGGACATTTCGTTGGACGACACATCCAGACTCACCAAGGACCTCGCCAAAGGAGCAGCCCAAGAAGCCCAAGAGCGCCCGTCAACAACAGCGGACATGTGAGCCAGCTGGGGAAGACTTCCAAGGAGACCGCAGCCGTCAGCCTTGATCGTGGCTAGAACCCCAGAAGCCAAGAGAGGCTGCAACATGTCTTTGACGTTGCCCCGCAAAGGACATCCAGATATGTCCAGCAACCTCAGCTTTGGGAAGATGGCGTTCGCTTCTTGCGTGTGAATCATCTGAAAATCCATCTGATCCTCAGCAGTCGGCAAGAATTCAACCTGGCTGTGGCTTAGCTTCAAGGACCCCAGAAGTGCACAGCGGCCCCGCCAGGAAGTTGTAAGCCGCCCAGTAGCCATTGTGCAAGATAGGTCCACCGACTCGATTTCTGGCCACTCGGTGAGGACGCCGATGTCACCAAAGACCGAGGTGTTGGACAAAGCGAGGTCCTTCATTTTGCTGTGGCCTTGCAGGCTGCTGATGTCACCGGAGACCCGTGTGTTGGTGAGGTCCAGCCGCCACAGCCAGGGGCTGTTTGCTAGGCTGCGGAGGTCACCGGAGACGTGGGTGTTTCTCAGGCCCAGCCACCGCAGCCAGTTTGCTAGGCTGCGGAGGTCACCGGAGACGTGGGTGTTGTCGAGGGCCAGGTGTTGCAGCTGGGGGCTGTTTGCTAGGCTGCGGAGGTCCCCGGAGACCTGTGTGTTGCCGAGGTACAGCTTTTGCAGGTGAAAGCTGTTTGCTAGGCTGCTGATGTCACCGGAGACTTGTGTGTTGTCGAGGGCCAGCCGCCGCAGCTGGGGGCTGTTTGCTAGGCTGCGGAGGTCCCCGGAGACCTGGGTGTTTCTCAGGAGCAGCACCTTCAGCTGGGGGCTGTTTGCTAGGCTGCAGATGTCTCCGGAGACCCGTGTGTCGCTGAGGCCCAGACGCCGCAGCCGGGAGCTGTTTGCTAGGCTGCTGATGTCACCGGAGACCTGTGTTGTGCTGAGGTACAGCTTTTGCAGCTGGGGGCTGTTTGCTAGGCTGCGGAGGTCCCCGGAAACGAGTGTGTTGCTGAGGTACAGCACCTGCAGCTGGGGGCTGTTTTCCAGGCTGCTGATGTCACCGGAGACATTTGTGTTTCTCAGGTCTAGCCGCTGCAGCTGGGGGCTGTTTGCGAAACTGGCTAAGTCTCCTCCTGTCTTGGTGCCTTGGAGGCTGAAGTGCCGCAAAGAGCGAAGCTTTCCGATCTGTTCGTCCACGGTCCCCGGTGCATCTAGAAACTTCAGGTGGATCGCCGTGACTTCGCATCCTTTCCTTGGCTGTAAGCTCTTGGCACGGTGTTGCAGACTTACAAAACCCCTCGTTCGTATCTCTGGACTGTTCCGAGGCTCTTCGTTGCTCAGCAAGAATGACGAAAGATGCGAATTGTGGTCCACAGCGGTCGCTCGTGGCAAGCAAATGCGAGACAAACCGTTGTCCAGTAAGGAGGCGTGTCATTACATGTCATTGTCGCTAGTAAAAGCACTAGCGTATTTGGAGGTCTGCAAGCGGTTTTGTCAACCAGGATATCTCAGAATGTGAACAACATGAAACCTAAAGCCCGGCACATCAGACAAATGTGAAACTCAGACAAGGATCCACTGGATATTTTCTGCGACATGCGACGGATCGACTCCCAGTTTCTTCAGGACGGCTTTCAACGCTGGCCACTGTGGACAGCCTGCCTTCTCTTCTCCTGGGGCAGATTTTGTGTTTCTTAAAAAAAAAAAAAACTTAGCAGTGGAACTGCAAATCCTATGCAGGATCTGTTTCGTGTCACAAATGAACATGCCACCTGCAAAACGACTCTGTTCCGCCCGCGAGATGCAACAAAACAACATACACCTGGACGCTGGACGCCTGGATGTGCCAACAACTCATCGACGTCCAGCGCTTTCTGGCCAAGCCGAGAACGTTTTGCAACTGCCACGATCACGGCCAAGAAATGTAAGTAGACTTGCCGCATCAAAGATATGGACTAGGATTTATCTGTCTACGGACCTAGCTGGCTATGCCGGCACGCTTGCTGTCTCTGGGCCGATTGGCCTTGAGCCAATATTGGCAGCGTGGCCGGCTGCGTGTCCACAACCAAAGCGACAGCCAGCAATCGCTAGAGCGGCCAGCCCAGCAGTTGCCCTGCAGAGCCAATCTGAGCCCGAGCTTCAACCGGTTTCAAGCAGGTGGGTCGGGCCCAGGGTCCGGGCCCACTGGAATTTCAAGCAAAGTCCAAACTTGTTGTGCACCAAAATTGGCTTCCCAGATTTGAACAAGTCAAGGAACTCAGGGAGTGAGGAATGGACGAACAGGTCCAAGTTTTTGGATTATCCCGGCAACTGCTTGGTACGCACAATATCTCACAATGGTGCGCGTTCCTCATGTCAAGTTGGGTAGGAAGTTCTTGAAAAGCCATGTCGAGGGAATCCTAAGAATACTACACAATGAACGAACCCCTAAAACCGTGTCTCATGCCACGACCCTTTTCCCCATGCGAGGAGCGCCTTCTCCTCGGCTTCGAAGAAATTCAAGCGAAGCCTCAGCGCTTCGGCGGGTTCATTTCCGCGCCGCATACGGACCGTGATCTGGCGGGCGAAGGCAAATGGCACGATGCCCTTTATTGGGCTAAGGGGAAAAACAAAGGGCCAGGAGTCTTATTGTTTTTTGCTGTTGTTGTTTGGGAATTGTTCCTGGATGTTCTGTCTGGCAGGTACGATTTTGCTTGGTTCTGTGGCGGTTTGACTGGCTTTGCACCAGCGCTGTCAACATCCCCGGCTCGATTTCAACATCCTCAGCATCACCAGTTAGCTTTGAATCAAGGTTTGCTCGGGGTCTGGGACGGGGGATTGTTGGCTTAGGTGGGTTCAGAGGGTTTAGGGCCTGGAGATTCATTCTCCATGAATTTCCTGGTAGTTCTCGGCTTTGACTTGCTTTTCGTAAATCTCGATGTTTTTCTCGTGCAGTCGCCTAAAACTACTAAAGCTCCTATATTTTTGAGATTTCAGAATTGGTACGGTTTCACGTTTTCCCCGCCCAGAATTACCCGCAAAACGCCCGCAAAAAGCCCGCAAACGCCCGCAAAACCCCGCAGACGCCCGCAAATCAGAAAAAGACGCTTTTTGGGCTCGGGGGTCGCGCAAAACTCCTAGAAACCACTTAGAACGCCCAACACGCCCAAAACTAGCAGGAAACTAAAACGCCTAGGAAAAGGCCGGAGAATGAATCTCCAGGGGGGTTAATTTAGGGGGTTGAGTAGTGTGTGTGTTTTTTTTTTGGGGGGGGGTTGGGATTGCTTTAAGGTGGTTCGGAAAGGTGGGCTACTCAGGGATCGTGTTTTGCTTGTTTAATGAGGTAGGGGTTCGGGTGGGTTTCAGGACTGGCTTGGGGTGGTTGAAGGTTTCGGGTTGGTCTAGAGTTGGCTTCGGGATAGTTTATTGCTGGTTTAGAGTGGGTTTGTTTAGGGCTTTCTTTGAGGATTGGCTTAGGTTTGGTTTTAGGTTGGTTGTTGTCTGGTTTTTGCGGCGGTTTATGGTGGGTTTCCCGGTTTCGGGTTGTTTTAGAGCGGGCCGAGGGCCCGAGACGTGGGTTTAGGGGGGGCTTTGGATTCATCGGAGTACGTTCGGGGGCTTGGGTTCAACGGCCCTATAAAGAAGTGGGGACACAGGAAAAAGCCTCAAGAAAAAAAGGAAAACTCCTTTAAACAGTAGCCCTCCAAAAACAAATCAAGGGGGGAATCGTAGCAGCTGGCTGTCATCGGGTTGCATCCACTGTCCATCCACAGCGAGGTCTTTTTTGCTGCCTCCTTAGCGAAGATACAAGTCATCGAATTTTGGACGTTCGGGCTGCCAACCACGCAGAAGGCAACAGTTTGGTACTCTGCTGCCGGGGCGCTCGTTTTCCTCTGTGCCTGGGCGGTTTCTTTGCCAACGGGACAACTGAGTCACAATCTTAGTACTAAAAGGGATTCCAGGCCTCCAAACAAACGGCTTTTTCGCCTAGATTGGAGTCCTAAGAGAATGGACGGGCTCATGTTTCGACACATTCCCATGTCTGTGGCTTTCAAGAATTCACCAATTGGACGTCCGCAGCACAAGTCCCCAAACATGTGTGCCTGTGCTGCGGGTGTGGGTGTGGGTGTGGGTGTGGGTGTGGGTGGGTGGGTGTTAGTGGGTGGGTGGGTGGGTAGGCGGGCGTGTCTGTGTCTACGTGCAGTCAAATGCATGCCATACGAATGCCTGACCTTCTCCTCGATTCTTTACCTAAGCTTCAAACGCAAAACGCTCCCTCGTCTAAACTGCCGCAACGCGGAAGCATGTTCTATCGGCGCTATAAGGAAACCTCAAGTAGGTGACCTTCATTGAGCTAGCTCGTTGTATCTCGGAGTCGGGGAGCTCGTTGCAATGTGCAACCAAATGAATCTGCTGACCGTCAAGGTCCCAGAAATTAATCAATGTAATCCTGGCCACGTGAAAGAAACTTTGGCCTGAAGACACCAAACCGTGTTGCGTCGGAATTCCCGGCGCAGTGTGGACTCTGAATCTCCATGTCTGTGCCTCGGGATGAAACAAAGGACGCGAAGAATGAAACCAAAGAACACTAGTATGAATCCACAAGAACCATCAGAATTTCCTGAAGTCCGGGAAAAAACAGCAACAACATCTACGTTTGGCCCTTAAGAGGGACAGCCGGACTCGGCGTACGAAGCCCAGGCCTGGACCAAAGCCAAGCCCCCGGCGAGCACTTCCGCGCCGCTTTGCACCTAGAGCCGCGATGCCTACGTCGATCAGAACTACGCAGGGGACATTTCGCTCGTTGGCGAGGCCCCGATCTTTGTTCGAGACAGTCTCAGATGCCCTGTGGCCATGGGACCAAAAGGCATCCTTGGCTGATTGAGTTTAAAGGGGACCCTTCCCCAAACAAATGGAAAAGGGCGGATGCAACCAATTTAAGCCAGTGGAACCCAAGATGGGTTCCAAACCAGCCCAATCAAAAAGACACCTCCCCTTAGAACCAAGCTGAATCACTTCCTAGGGGCTTCCCAGAATTTGTGGCTTTGAGCATTTTGATCCTGTGACAATTCAAGCAGAAGGGCCGTTCACAATTCACAAACACCTCATTCTCTCCAGGGGCCGTCAGCAACAGCATCCCAGTTGCTCGCAGGTAACACTCGGTCTAACCCACGGTCAGTTGGTCAATTTGGGGGCGTGAGGATTGCTGTGTGGGATGGTGTGAAGAAAAGTAAAAACTCCCGGGCAAGCTTCCAACCTCAAACCTTCCAAGTTGGAAACCCACTTGGGCCCTTAAGGTGATGATCGATGCAAGCAAAAAGGAGGAACGCAAGAGTAAGTGCATGCTTCAGGACCATCTCAACCCCTGCTGTTGGACCAAAAACCCTGCACCAGTAGGTGGTTTGTCTAAGTATTCATCGGGCTTCATCCGTTGCAATTGGTGCGAAGCGCGCTTTGTCCATCCACGGTATTTACCTTCTTGTTTGGCAGGCCCCCCGTGAAAATAGAGCCGAAAAGGGCTCCCTACCTTGGTCACGTCCACTGTCCAAACAAGCAGTGGTTGGGGGTGCTGGCAGGCAGGATTTCACCATGGACAAAGATGTAAAGATTCTGGGGTCCGAACCACCATTAAAACAAAGGGGGTTCGTGTAACCTCCATGTTTGCCCATCCAAATTGGGTCAACCATTGTTTGAATGGGGATTGAACCCTAAGGAAGATGTAAGATGGTCCAATTCAAACCGAATCGAACACGTCACTGGTTCAACTCCCGTCGACTCTGCGCTCTGCTCGGGCCCGTGCCAGGCTCCAGAGTTTCGCTGACCTGACCAAACGGGTTCAAAGCCGACTTGTCTAGGACTTGTCCAGACTGAGACCCCCTGCAAAACAAAAACTCGTAAAAGGCGGAAGAGTAAACAAGACAAATGGCAAGAGGGTTGGTTGAGTCTGGCGACGCATAAGTGCAGTGGGACATGCTGGGAGCAGGATGTGAGTGATACTCCAACATGAACCAAGCCAATGTCTCCCCTCTTCATCCGCAGATCGGGCCAACTAAACTCCTTGCTCTAGTCAAATTGTCCTCGGACACAAGCTCTCGTGATACTCCAGCTGCTTCATACCATGCAGCCAAGATCATTGCCATGAAAGAAAATCCTTTCACCAGTCCGAGACTGAACGAAGAATTAATAAGTTTGCAGTACCACAACTTCGGGGTGGCTGCGAAAAGAGATGAAACTTGGCTTCCCTGCAGCTCGGACAAAAATTTCACACGTCGTCTGTACAAACATCGGCTGCAAGGAGCGTGGGATGTGACGCCACGCAGGTTGTCGCTCATATGAAGCTACAGGTCTCCTCGGAATCACAGCGGTGGTGCAATGTGAACCCTCCTGAGACCCAAGCAATTAAAGTCTAGACACCATGAACACACAAACATATGAAATCGGATCATGATTGGCAGGAATTTCACAAATCAGTCAAGTTTCGACGACGACCTCCACTGCTTCGCCATCCTGGCGATCAGCACGAAACAAATCGACAAGAAAGAAGCATTCCACCACGCAGACAATGAGAAACAACAAGTCACAGGAGCAAACATGGTCTTACCGATCCGTTCGAGACCAGAACCTCACCTAATAAAGGCCCCAACAACCAAAACGAACCAGCTACCAACCTGAACAACCGGCTCCTTAAACAAGAAACAGAGACGAACAACGACTCTGGATGAAAAACCACTCCAACGTATGCCAAGCATCTTCCAGCTTTGGAATCTGCTGCTTCAGCTGCTCCCAGAGTCGTACCGAGAGGCTTTCCGTGCTGTCGGGCCTTAGGGCTAAGACCGCGCTGAGCAGGAAAGGCAACGCCAAGGCGACGCGACTCAACCTGGGCAAGGGCCGTTGTGATGATTTCGAGTGCTTCGAGTTGAGCGGAGAAACTCAACGTTTCTTCGCTAAAAGAACATCAGTCTTCGTTCCAAAGAGACCGCACAATGCTTTTGCTGGAAACAGAAACTGCTAAAATCGCAGGCGTTATTTTCTCTGAATCCCTGTCCTTTCTGCCAGTGTCAACAAGGGCAATCAATACTCCTCGCTTGTCCTCTATGGCCCCCAATGCGCCATTCGCCGGACATGACTTGTCGTAAGACATATCGTGAAAGACCTGGTTTACAAAACTCAAGTGGCTGTGGGTCAAAATGAAACCACCAGGAATTGGACCGCAGATTTTCGTCATGGTTCCATTTGCCAGGGCAACCCATTTTGGGTATTTTTGACTCACAGCCAAGTAGTCCAAGGATCGTTTCTTGACAAGAGAACGATCAAGGCCTCTGCGCACCAAGTCTACACGCGAGCAAACACTGCCAAGTAGCCAAGGCATGTGACATCTGAAGCTCAGTGACGCCAGAGCCAAGCACAAAAAGCAGCAGCATTGGAGAGTGTTGATCTCCGGGGGTAAACAGGCAAAGTTCCACGTACTTGAACAGGAATCCTTCTTGTGGCAGAAACAAAACGTCATGAATTCGGATTTGAGACCTTGGGGGCTGTGATTGAATGGCTTGAGACATGTTGAAACCCAATATCACTACCATTTTCATTCCTGGCCTGTGGCTGCAAAAACGGCTGCACCATTCTGCTTGTTGCAGCCATCAGCAAAGTGATCGCAACTGACAGCTCTACGCCATCTTCACTGCGTACCACTGACACCAACGCGATGGCGGCAGCTTTCTGCAGGATTTCCATGTACACATTTCGGCAACGAGCGTACTTGACGAAGATGTCTTTGGCGCCCGCCAAGACCGGCTCCTCTGCTTCGTTTTCTTCCAAAATGCACCGGTCCATCATGGCTTCAGCAAGTTCTCGGCTCTTCAAGGAGCCAACGTCAACTTTAGCAGCCAGACTGATCGCACCAGCGCTTGGAAGCTCATCGGTTCGAGAGGAATCGCCTTCACTCGCGGTATGGCCAAAAAAGCAAAAGAATGAGAGCCAAACCAGTTCTCCAAACCGTGGTAAAACAAACATTTGCTCGCCTGCGATGGGCTTCACGATCACTGTGCCCTGCTTCAATTCCACAGTCACACGACCTCGCTTCAGTACGGAGATGTAGGCCGCAGCCGCTGCCACCAAGCGCCGTGTGAACGTCGCATGCTTGAGAGTCGATTTGTCCTTGGCACGGCAATTTGCAGGGCAGGGAGAAAAAGGACAATGGCATTCAGTTTCGTTGAATCATCCAACTTGAGCATTCAGCAAGCTCAAGTGTGGAAAAAGACAGGTCCTCAGCTCGAAAGCTGCGCTCAAAGATTGCACATACGAAAATAATTACACGTTTCATTTCCCCCACAGACTTGTTTCTGTGCGTCAATAGTTTTGTGCCACGTGCCAGCAAGTCACAGGTGACGAGCTTTTTGCTTTCACCAGCCACACTTCCAAATCACCATGGTCTGCTGCCAACGACACAGTCTCCTTGCCTGGTAAAAGCACAAAATGTTGTTTGGCATATAAGTATATGAGGCATCCGGGAACCACAATGCCGTAGCAAAAGGCAGTGGTCATGCCTGTCGCATCCACGTAGGGTCCAAGAGGATCATTGTGGCAACGAAGGTGAGGAAGCAACTTGCGGAAAGTAAGCCTCGTGTGGAGCAACATAAAGGATCACATGCAAAGAATTCCATCGAAGCCCAGAAGACAGATAGCATCGAAACCAAGAAGACAGATAGGTTCTACAAGTACGGGGTCCCACTGTGCCACCTGGCCGCACTCTTTGGTAAGTCAACTCGGCCTTTACCCGATATTCTCCCTTGGTAGCTAAGGAGGTACTGAACGACCCCTTTTGGCCCCCCAAAAGCCATCCTCATAAGGTACCAAAAAACCCTCTGGGTTTGGAACAACCATCAAAAACCGTAAAAAACCTGCGGCGAGGCACTCCTCCTTGAGGAGATTGCCTGCCCCGTCCGTCGTTTGGCAGCTCAACAGCTTTGATGCTGCGGACGCCCCCCCAATGTACAACATCGTCAGGACCTGCGGCAAACGACACGACAAGCAACCTGAATCGGATTGAGAATGGCTGCAAAACAAAACTTTACGGCAGAATGGCCCTTCCAGGCTGCACCCTTCAGTAGCTGCAAAATGTCAGCACAACTATTTGCTTGACAGCTCTATTCTTTGGAAGGTGCGGGGTGTAGGCTGTTCAATCTTGCGCGCACACACACGAGGACAACTTGACCTTCCGCAACCTGCTTCTTGCGGGTCTCTCCAAATCTTTGGGAACTGCTTTCCGGCGGCCTCAGCATTATTTGAAGCGCTTGCCTAAATGGGTGCAAAAGCAAGCAGAGAAGTGTACTCTTGGCAAACTGTCTTTTAAGGATTACTTGTAAATTGACTGTTGTCAGCGTGTCTCCGCCGTGAACCTGTTTGAGCCTGTACTTCATTCCAGCCTGATTGGAGAGAACACGAGCTGCAGCAAAGCCCTTACGCACCATTCTTTGGGAAGATTGTCACCAGCAGTTGCAGTACTTATCTGGGTGAATTATAATATTTCACCAACCTGAAATAAGGTGGTTGGGGGGCTATTCCCAACATAAACCACCAATTGGGTTGATTATGGTGTTGTCTGTTTATCTGTGCGAGTTTTGTGCGCGTCAGCGGCCCCAGGATTGTGTGGAAACACGAATTGTTGGACGAATGTGGGCGCAGCGTGAGCAGAATATGTGGCGTAAGTGTTGCTCGAGATTTTGCGCGAAAACCTCTGTTGGCGCGAAAGGTAAGTGTTGCACAAGTATTCCCTTACAAATGCCGCCTGGCTTGCACTGTTGTGCTACTCCGTGTATCGGCAGAAGTGTTTCCACCTTAGTTCGAATGCAGTGAAAGCAATCCTTTGGATAGGTGGTCAAGACAATACCCACATCAGCGAACTCATGCCGTGTCCGCAACCAGTGCTGCAGCAAAAAAGGTATCTCTCCCCGCAACATGTTGGGTCGGCCTGCGTTTTGGGGCATTGCGTCGTAAGAACTGCGAAAAGCGGGCCTTTGCAATTTTAAGGCCTTTGGTTTGTGTCGTGCAAGAGATCTGACTTGCTTCCGACTTCCGGCAGGTCTCGCCTGCACGTTTCACGATACATGCTCTGACATTGGAGGGGTCCGATCTCGTTCTCCAGGTGTATTCTGAATCTACAACAAACACAACACCTCAATGCCTGCATGCTCGAACCGTACATCAACGCCGGAGAGGCCGGCCTTCAACGCAGCACGGATGCCAGATCCGTTGTATACTTCCAAAGAAAGGCAGGAAACCAAAAGCAACACCGGAGCGACCGGCGCGATCAGGGCGGAAGCCAAGCGAACGCTCGCAGCGTCAAAGCGGCATTGCAAGTTCAGGCCATTCTTCAGGCTGTCAAATGAAAATTGCAAAACCTGGTCAGAGTCGAAAGTTCCAGAAACACAATTTCCTAACTGTAGCGGTTGGCTTGCAAACAAAGACAACTGCAAATTGCACCTTCCAACCCTCTTCATGCCTCTACGTACGGCAGTTCCCACAAGGATGTTGAGCTCTGCGCTTGCTCTTCTTTGGCAAGCACGGCAAGAACAGCCCACACCTGACAAGTTTGTAACAGGATGGGCGCCTGCCCCTTGATCTGCTCTTTCAGCGCCGACAGCACAGATGCTTCGGGTAGTTTTGGTTCTCCCGGCGTTCTCCGCTGTAGCCACAAGGCTAACACTGAAGCTACTGTCAAAGTACTGGCCGCAGCTATGGCGATGTGCAAGAGCTCTGGCATGGCATCTCTGCTTGGACACACTCGCACATATTGCTGGCGGCGTAGTGACCTGCCGCGCAATCCGAGCAGATAATGCCGCTGTAGCCACCTGCGCAGCCGAGAGTGCTTGAACCATTGCCGGTGGACACGTTGCACCTCGTGGACTCCGGAGGAAGACAGCGAATTGCCGCGGTGTCTTCCTCTTGAAGGCGGGCATGGCCCACTTCCGGCAGGGCTGAGGAGAGCCGCATGCCTGGTTCTGGGCAAAGTAAATTCAAGTCGTGGCATGGCAGGCAATCTTTCTCATCCTTCCCGTCTTTGGACCTGACGATGAAGCCCTCCCCAGTAACACATCCACAGCGCTCCGTGCCGTTGTCATTGTAGCGTTCGCCCACGGTGCAGATGCATGATGTGGATCCTTCGGGTGCAGTGCTTCCTTCCTCACACTTCTGGCAAGATCCGTTGTACTCTCCATTGAAGTAGTTCGAAGGGCACTTCTTACAGTCCGCTCCCGTACCATTGAAGCCAGGAGAACAGCTGCACAACTCCTTCGGCAGAAACTGCGACGGCGTGATCTGCAGTGCTTTTGAAGTGAACTCGAAACATGCGAAGCCACCTTCGACGCTCACCGAGGAGCGCTTGTCCGTACGGGTGAGCTGACCCCCTTCCAGGAGCTCTTGGGCCTCCTCGGTTGCGATCTGCTGCGATCAACGAGTCCAAAGGGATTGACTGAAGGTCTCGAAAGATCAGCGATAGACAATCGAACAGAAGTGTTTCAAGAGTAATATGTTGCTTGCTTTAGAATCTAGAACGCAGGTGAGTCCCAGGGATGAACGGGGACTAAAAAGTGCCCTCGATGGTCGGGAAAATGTTTGGACAATGTTGATGGAACAATTCGCATATGCTGATCATGAAGATTTTGGCATAAATCGAAATCAAGATTCAGTCTTGTTCTCCAAAGTGACATTCTGCAAGTCCAGGAATATCCCGTCGGATACAGCCTTGGCAAGAACCCGGCTGCAAAGGCTACTGACGGGTTGTCTGCTAGCAACAGGGCCTGCACACTCTGTGGGATCTCCTCGATGAAGGACATTTCGTTGGACGACACATCCAGACTCACCAAGGACCTCGCCAAAGGAGCAGCCCAAGAAGCCCAAGAGCGCCCGTCAACAACAGCGGACATGTGAGCCAGCTGGGGAAGACTTCCAAGGAGGCCGCAGCCGTCAGCCTTGATGGTGGCTAGAACCCCAGAAGCCAAGAGAGGCTGCAACATGTCTTTGACGTTGCTCCGCAAAGCACATCCAGATATGTCCAGCAACCTCAGCTTTGGGAAGATGGCGTTCTCTTCTTGCGTGTGAATCATCTGAAAATCCATCTGATCCTCAGCAGTCGGCAAGAATTCAACCTGGCTGTGGCTTAGCTTCAAGGACCCCAGAAGTGCACAGCGGCCCCGCCAGGAAGTTGTAAGCCGCCCAGTAGCCATTGTGCAAGATAGGTCCACCGACTCGATTTCTGGCCACTCGGTGAGGACGCCGATGTCACCAAAGACCGAGGTGTTGGACAAAGCGAGGTCCTTCATTTTGCTGTGGCCTTGCAGGCTGCTGATGTCACCGGAGACCCGTGTGTTGGTGAGGTCCAGCCGCCACAGCCAGGGGCTGCTTGCTAGGCTGCTGATGTCACCGGAGACCCGTGTGTTGCCGAGGTACAGCCTCTGCAGCTGGGGGCTGTTTTCTAAGCTGGCCAAATCTCCTGCTGCCTTGGTGTTTTGGAGACTCAAGTGCCGCAAAGAGGGAAGCTTTCCGATCTCTTCGTCCAGGGTCCCGTTCACATCCCAGTATCTCCCCAGGTCGATCTCCGTGACTTCGCACCCTTCCCTTGGCTTCAAGCTTTTGGCAGGGTGTTGCAGCTTCACAAACCCCTATGCTCGATCCCTGGACTGGTCCAAGTCTCTTATTTTCCCGGCAAGCATGACGAAGCATGCCAATCGTGGTCCACACCGGTCGCTCGCGCCAAGCAAATTAATGACATGCGAGACAAATCATCACGGTTGTGTAGAATCTGAGAACTCGACCAAGGATCCACTTGATCTTTCCTCCCACAACCGACGGATCGACGCCCAGTTTCTGCAAAACGGCATTCAACGCTGACCATTGTGGACAGCCTGCCTTTGCTTCTCCTGGGGCATCTGTGTTTAAAACCAGCTTAGCAGTGCTAAACTACAAGTCCTATGCAGGATCAGTTTCGATACAAACAATATGCCACCTGCAATATGACGCTGTTCTGAACAACCGCTAGACGCCTCCAGGTGCCAACAACTCATCGACGTCCAGTGCTTCTTGGCCAAGCCGAGGACGTTCTGCAACTGCCAAAATGACGGCCACGAAGGGGAAGAAGACTCGCATCAAAACACATATCATAATATGGATATAAAGAGGACTTGTCAGTCTACGGGCATCGCCGGCTATGCCGGCATCTGTCTTTGGGCCGAGCCTTGAGCAGATATCGGCGACGCGGCCGGCCCTGCAAGTTGCAAAAGGTGTCAGTCAAGCCCAGGCCGGGACCAGAATTTCACGGCGGATTCACCAAACAAGTCCAAACTTGTCCACTGAAACTGTCTTCCAAGATTTGAACAAGCCAAGGAACTCAGGGACGGAGGAATGGAGATACAGGTGCTCCGGGCTCTTGGATTCGGCAACCCTGTGTGTGTTCCTCACGTCCAGCTGGTTTCTGGCGAACATGTTCTCTCTCAAATGATAAAAGACCGGGCCCCTCTTTCTGTGAAACACGGGTCTATGCGGTGGATGAACGATCTTGCATTGATATCATCTCTCTATGAGCTATCTCACGCGTTTCTCCTTTCCTTGTCCAAGGCTTGTCCAAGGATCGCTGTACGCCCGCTGATATCTCCGTGCTCTGTTGAAAAGCCTTGTCGAGGGAATCCTAGCAATACTACACAATGAACTCTCGCTTCGCGACACGTTTCCCCATGGGAAGAGCACCTGGTCGGGAGCGTGCACAACCTTCTCCTCGGCTTCGTAGCACCCGAAGCGAAGCCTCGGCGCTTCGGCGGGTGGATTCCTTTCCCCTCCCCCCTCTCTGTACGGACAATGTCCTTTATTGGGGTAAGGGGACAACACAAATGAAAGGGAGAAAGCAAGCATCTACTTTCACCCAACTGAAACTACTGTAGATGGACATAAATCCCGCACCGGTTGGTAGGTGGCTTGTCCCAGTTGTCAAATTGGGTGGCATCCACCGTCCATCCACAGCAAGGTATTTTTTGATACCTCCTTAGCGAAGATACAAGAAATTTGGTTTTGGACGTTCGGGCTGCAAACCATGCGGAAGGCAACGGTTTGGTACTCTGCTGCCGGGGCGCTCATTTTCCTCTGCGCCTGGGCGGTTTCTTCGCCAACGGGACAACTAAGTCACAATCTTAGTACCAAAATGAGCCCCAAAAGCAAGTATATTATATATCATCGAATCTAAAAGGGCACCCGGGTTTTGAGTAGATTCCAGACCTCCAAGCAAACAGCTTTAGCCATGAACACACCAACTGTTTGCCTAGATTGGAGGCCTAAGAGAATGGACGGGTTCATGTTTCGACACATTCCCATGTCTGTGACTTTCAAGAATTCGCCAATTGGACGTCCGCAGCGCAAGTTCTCAAACATGTGTGCGTGTGCTGCGGGGTTGTGGGTGTGGGTGTGGGTGGGTGGGTGGGTGGGTGGGTGGGTGGGTGTTGGTGGGTGGGCGGGTGGGTGGGTGGGTGGATGGGTGGGTGTGGGTGTGGGTGTGGGTGTGGGTGTGGGTGTGGGTGTGGGTGTGGGGTGGGTGTGGGTGTGGGTGTGGGTGTGGGTGTGGGTGTGGGTGTGGGTGTGGGTGTGGGTGTGGGTGTGGGTGTGGGTGTGGGTGTGGGTGTGGGTGTGGGTGTGGGTGTGGGTGTGGGTGTGGGTGTGGTGTGGGTGTGGGTGTGGGTGTGGGTGTGGGTGGTGTGGGTGTGGGTGTGGGTGTGGGTGTGGGTGTGGGTGTGGGTGTGGGTGTGGGTGTGGGTGTGGGTGTGGGTGTGGGTGTGGGTGTGGGTGTGGGTGTGGGGGTGGGGGTGGGGGTGGGTGGGTGGGTGGGTGGGTGGGTGGCTGGGTAAGTGGGTGGGTGGGTGGGTGGGTGGGTGGGTGGGTGGGTGGGTGGGTGGGTGGGTGGGTGGGTGGGTATAGGCGGGCATGTCTGTGTCTAAGTGCACTCAAATTACGAATGCCTCACCTTCCCTTCGATTCTTGACCTAAGCTTTAAACGCAAAACGCTAGGAAACCTCAAGTAGGCGACCTTCATTGAGCTAGCTCGTCGTATCCCCAAGTCAGGGAGCTCCTTGCAATGTGCAACCAAATGAATCTGCTGACCGTCACGGTCCCAGAACATAGTCAATGTAATCCTGGCCATGTGAAAGAAACTTTGGCCTGAAGACTCCAAACCGTGTTGCATCGGAATTCCCGGCGCAGTGCGGACTCTGAATCTCCATGTCTGTGCCCCGGGATGAAACAAAGGACGCGAAGAATGAAACCAAAGAACACTAGCATGAATCCACAAGAACCATCAGAATTTCCTGAAGTCTGGGAAAAAACAGTAACAACATCTACATTGGCCCTTAAAAGGGACAGCGGCACTCGGCGTACGAAGCCCAGGCCTGGACCAGAGCCAAGCCCCCGGCGAGCGCCTCCGCGCCGTTTTGCACCTAGAGCCGCAATGCCTACGTCGATCAGAACTACGCAGGGGAAATTTCGCTCGTTGGCGAGGCCTCGATCTTTGTTCAAGACATTCTCAGATGCCCTGTGGCCATAGGACAAAAAGGGCATCCTTGGCTGATTGAGTTTGAAGGGGGACCCTTCCCCAAACAAATGGAAAAAGGGCGGAATCTGCTGGACAACTGGGCAACACACAGGAACAATCGATGGCCCTGGGAAAGGGAATGAAACCAATTTAAGCCAGTGGAACCCATCTTTCTAACCAAACCAGCCAATCAAACAGACACCTCCCGTTGGCAACAAAGAGAACCAAGCTGAAGCACTTCCTAGGGGCTTGCCAGACTTTGTGGCTTTGAGCAGTTTTTTTCCTGTGACAATTCAAGCAGAAGGGCCGTTCACAATTCAAAAACACCTCATTCTCTCCAGGGGCCATCAGCAAAGCATCCCAGTCGCTCGCTGAAGGTAACACTCGGAGTTATACAAATTGAACTTATCTAATGGAATCGTCAATAATATTATTAACTATTCAATGGATGTAGAAGATGAATGTAAAATTTGTAGAAATTGGAGATATAATCAATAATTTATCAGATGTCATTTAAATCTGAAAAGAAACAATAATAGAAATGTTGAAGATGACATCTTCATAGTTCTTGCGGTTTACAATATCCCACCTTATGATTATGTTAAGTAGTTTCTTAAAATAAGTAAGAACAAATATGAAATGATTGACCGCATATTATGGATGTTGTTGTACCAAAAAAAGAAGGAGGAGATGTGAAAGACAATGTCAAACTGTTTATTGAAAGTAAAAAGTTTAATGATAAAACACAGTTAGAGATATTAATATTATTTTTAAAATGATGTATGAAAGAAGTACGATTTATACACAATTTAATAGTAATCAATTAACTTACTATCCTGAACTTAAATTATAATTCAACCCATGAACCTTACAATAAAACACATTGTAAGATTTGTGTTTTGAAATTATGGGGATTTATATTTTGGGAATTTGGAAAATTATATTTTTGGAATTTGGGATTTGGAATTTGGGATTTAGGGTATGATATAGGTTTAAAGGTAAATTACCTTAGTAAATTATGGAGAAGCAGTATTGCAAAAGATGTAATGCAACTAAACCAGTTGAAGAATTCAACGGAATAAATAAATATTGTATAAGGCGGATGGAAAAGGAAAGGGAAAAACACCAGAAGAATAAGGAACAAAGACATCAGCAAAGCAAACAATACCGTGAAGAACATAAGGAAGAAATCAATGCCAGAATGACAGAATTTAGCAAAGTCTATAATCAAATTGAAGTATTTTGTGATATTTGCCAGTGCAAAGTTAAAAAACAAAATGTAGATGGTCGGAACATAAAAAAACTGAGAAGCATAATAACAATCAGAAGCAAAAGGAAACACCAACTACTATTTTGAAGAACAACCTGTTGATATTGAAACAATATGAATTGAAATTACACCATACATATTACAATTAAATTATTGCAACATGTATGCCAATGTTTGATTTGGAAATTTTATAAATTTGGAAAATTATATATTGAAAATTTGAAAAACTATTTGTAAAATCTATGTATTAAATCTTGAGTTGAGGTTCTGTTATGAATTATGTTGAACAAATGTTGTGAAATGCTAGACTGGCAGGATTATATCTGAATTGGGGCAAGGCCATTGGTAGGTAGGCCATAGTGCCCCTTCGGTTTCCCTGTCAATACCCACCCTTTGAGGAAATTCCCCCTTTTGCAAAACTCCCCAACATCGAATGGATTATCCAATGGTTGTCACGGGCCCAAGAGGCTGATCCCGATAGGCGCAACAAGAAACATGAATAGGGTCTAGGGGCTTTCTTGAGTTCCTTTTTGAGTTCCTTTTAGGCCAATCCACGTTATTCAGCTATCTCTTTGCCGGGTCCCCTATGTCACGAACAGGGTCTCGGGCCCTTCTTCAAGTCCTTTTGGGGACCATTTCCTGGAAGGTCCCGGCCCCTGATAGATCGCCGGCCTTCCAAAACTCCGAGGACCCCACTGGGCTCCAGCAAAGTGGAGACCTGAACAAGAACGGAAGCCGTCCGAAGCCGAGTGCTTCCCTCAAAATCCCAACTGGAAATGGGTTGCGACCCAAATTATGGTTGGTGATCTTCACATTTTTTTTGGGGCAGTTTGCAAAACAACAACACGGTGCTAAAAGGGGAACATGAACAAAGACAAAACAGCAGGAGGGTTAGTCGAGTCTGGCGGTGCATACTGTGGGACATTGTGATGGGAAATAGGATGTAAGTAATACTCCCTAGGACGATGTCTTTATCACTTTCAAGGAGATGCCCTTCATACCAAAGAAAGTGGTTGTAAAAAGAAGCTGTCTACAATCCTGCGGGAAATCGTCACTCTTGTTTGGTTTCCCCTTGTAGGAAGAAGGGCAGTTGGAAGTCCCGCGTGCCTGAGGACCAATAGCTACTATCAACTGGCAAAGGCAACTGCTCATGCCAGACATCGCAAGGCGCTAGCTGTTTCATCGAGAGAAAAACGCTGTTTGAGCTCCTGACGGAGTCAGCAAATCCATCGAGAAGTCAACCTGTAGACACTCACATACTGAGCCTGAACATGAATTCCTTTCATCCTACGACATAAGCCAACGTGCTAGGTCTCCCATTTATCCATCGAAAAAAACCTGCAATAATCAACAACAGCAACGGAATGTTGTAGACATTCTTGCTCTTGAATCAAATCAGTTGAACACGTCATCTTCCTGAAATACTCTCCTCGAGATGGTTCGACTGCATTTTCCCGCCTTTATTCTGGTGCGTCCCTCCGACAAATCCATATGATCTGACTTTGAACTGCGCAGAGTGTTCCTGTCGTCCATGAAATCATCAAAACGCCCAACACAACGGGAGGCTCGGCATGTTGGTCAGAAAGGGTCCTTCTATCCGACAAAAGCTCTGAGAACACGTCTTCACCCCGAAAAAGCGGCCGCGATTGCCATCAAACAATCCTTCGATTCCGAGACTGAACTACCCTCCCATCCATGGAACCTGACTGAGGGTTCCTGGAAGACGATGTTCCCTTGAAATGGACCCTCTGGTGCGTTCCCTGTGGATGGGAGGGTAATGGAGGGTATTCATTTGCTGTCGCGACTTCGCAGTGCTTTCTGCCAAGAGATAGCGCAACTCGGCATCTCTGCGGCTCGGACTTCTTTCACACGCAGTCGTCTCTACATCGGCAGTTGCAAGGGGCGTGGGACGAGAGGCCATGCAGGTTCTCGCTCATATGAAGGTAAAGGTCTCCTTGCAACAAGACCCCTAGTTTTGCCATGTCCACCCTACTCAGATTGAAGCAAAGAAAGCCTAGACAGGATGAACAAATACGAAATCGGATCATGATTGGCAAGCATATCACAAATCAGTCAAGCTTCGGCGACGACCTCCACCGCTTTGCCATCCTCAAAGGCGATCTGCGCGAAAAGATTCGAAAATAAACAAGCATTCCACCACGCAGACTCAATGAGAAACAGTACTTCACAGGAGTAAGCACGGTCTTACCCATCCGTTCGACACCGGAACCTCACCTACCAAAGCCCCCAACAACCACAAAACCAACCAGCTACCAATCTACCGGCTTCCAAAACAAGAAAGACAAAAGAACGACTCTGACAGAACAACGACTCCAACGTGTGCCAAGCATCTTCCAGCTTCGAAATCTGCTGCTTCAGCTGCTCCCAGAGGCGTACTGAGAGGCTTTCCGTGCTGTCGGGCCTGAGGGCTAAGAAGGCGCTGAGCAGGAAAGGCAACGCCAAGGCGAAGCGACTCAACCTGGGCAAAGAGGGCCGTCGCGATGATATTCCGGTGACTCGAGCTGCACTCAGTGGTTCTTCGTTGCAAGAACATCAGTCTTCGTTCAAACGAGACCGAAAGACTGTTTTGTTTCCCACCAAAACGGACAAAATTGCTGACATAATATTCTTGAACATCCCTTTCTGCTGTTTTGGAGCTTTGAGTGCCAGCCAGTGTCAACAAGGCATTTCAGATCCCTCACTCCTCGCTCGTCCTCTACTGCCAGAAGGCGCCGGAGATCATGTTTTGCCAGAAAGTCATGAAAGGCCTGTTTACAGAACTCAAGTAGTCGAGTGCATCTTCACGCTATCTCACCCTTGCCGCTTCCCAAGAAACCAACCGGGATCCGTGTTTGATAAGCAAACCATCAAGGCCCTGGAAAGGTGTCCATTGTCACAGTGCCAAGTCTTCGGTTCCAGCAAAAACCGCCAAGTAGCCAAAACATTTGACAGCTGAAGCTCACTGACGCCAGAGCCAAGCACAGAAAGCAGCAGCATTGGAGAGCGTTGATCTCCAGGGGTTGAGCATACAAAGTTCCAAATATGAACAGGACTCCTTCTTGTCGCAAGGAAACACAAACCGACATGAATTCCGATTTCTGACTTTGGGCCCGTGCTTGAATGGTTGAAACATGTTGAAACCTAATATCACTGGCAGATCGATTACTTCCTGGCCTGTGGCTGCAAAAACGGCTGCACCATTGCGCTTGTTGCGGCCATCAGCAAAGTGATCGCTACTGACAGCTGTACGCCGTCTTCACTGCCTACCACTGACACCAACGCGATGGCGAAAACTTTCTGCAGGATTTCCATGTACACATTTCGGCAACGAGCGTACTTGAGGAATATGTCTTTGGAGCCTGCCAAGACTCGCTCCTCTGCTTCGTTTTCTTCCAAAATGCACCGGTCCATCATGGCTTCAGCAAGTTTTCGGCTCTGCAAGGAGCCAACGTCAACTTTGGCAACCAGACTGATCGCACCGGCGCTGTGAAGCTCATCACTTCGAGAGGAATCACCTTATTCACTCGCGGTATGGCCCAAAAAGCAAAGAACAGAGAACCATATCAGTTCTCAAAACGTAAACAAATCATTTGCCCGCCTGCGATGGGCTTCACGATCACCGTGTCATCCTTCAATTCCACAGTCACACGACCTCGCATCAGTACGGAGATGTAGGCCGCAGCTGCTGCCACCAAACGCCGTGTGAACGTGGCATGCTTGAGGGCCAATTTGTCCTTGGCACGGCAAATTTCAGCGCCATAGCATGCAGCATGCTGCTCCACAAGGATGGAAAAGGAAAAAGATCCTCATTTCGAAAGCTGAGCTCAAAGATTGCAAACGAAAAGTACACGATTCATCCCCCCCCCACAGACTGTGGTTGAACACTTCTTCATGTCATGCGTCAAAATATGTCAAAATGTTGCGCCATGCGCCGGCAAGTCGCTGGTGAAGAGCTTCTTGTTTGCACCAAACACACTTCCAAATCACGATGGTCTGCTGCCAAAGCGACAGTCTCCTGGCCTGGTAAAAGCACCACGTGCTGTCTGACATACAGGTATATGAGGCATCCCGGAACCACAACGCCGTAGCAAAAGGCAGTGGCCATGCCTGTCGCATCCACGTAGGGTCCAAGAGGATCATGATGGCAACGAAGGTGAGGAAGCGACTTGCGGAAAGTAAGCCTCGTGTGGAGCAACATTCGGGATCACATGAAAATAATTCCATCGAAACTAAGAAGACCATCATGTTCTCACAGTGTCCCACACTGCCCCTGGCCGCACTCTTTGGTTAGTCAACTCAGCCTTTTACCCAATATTCACCCGAAAAAAAATAAACCCCAAAAAAAAACTCAACAGCGAAAACCTACGAGGAACTCGGTCGGGAGGAGATTGCCTGCGCCGTCTGCTCTTTGGCAGCTTAACAGCTTTGATGTCGCGGAAGCCCCCCCAATGTACAACATCGTGAGCACCTGCGGCAAAACGACACGACGAGCAACCCGAATCGGATTGAGAAATGGCTGCAAAGAGTTTCTTTCCGGAACGACCCTTTCAGGGTGCACGCTTCAGTAGCTGCACAAAGTCAGCTACAATTACTTTTTGTTGACGGTGCTATTCTTTGGAAGGTGGGAGGTATAGGCACCATGAGGACAACTTGATACTTCTTGCGGGTCTCTCCAAATCATTGGGAACGCAGCCTGCTTTCCGGCGGCCTCGCACTATTTGCAGATGCCGCTGCCTAAATGGGTGCAAAAGCAAACGGGAAGAGCTGCTGCCGAAAACTTGAATCCTATAATAATAATCTCATGGCAAATTGTCTTTTCACGTTTACTTGTAAACTGACTGTTGTCAGCATGATTCCGTGGTGAATCTGTTTGAGGCTGTACTTCATTCGAGCCCGATTGGCGAGAACCCGAGCTGCACAGTTATTATGGTTAGTCTCTGAGAGTCGTGTGTGTGCGTGTGTGCGTCAGCGGCCTCACGGTTGTAGAAACATTGCGAGTAAGACGAACGGTTGGGCGAATGTGGGCGCAGCGTGAACAGAATATGTGGCGCAGGTGTTGCGCGACTGTTGCGTGGCGTCGGCGGCCAGATTTTGCGCGAAAACCTTCTTTTGGCGCGAAAGGTCAGGAAAGCGTGACGGCAGCGTAAATGCAGGGACCGCTCCATTGTCCTGTCGCACAAGTATTGCCCTTACAAGTGCTGCCTGCCTTCCGCTGCTGTACTACTCCGCTTGAATAGAATGCTTGTCGGCCGTGGGAACGCATTGAAAGCAATGCTTGGGGTTCAATAATGCCCAAATCAGCGAACGAATGCCGTGTCCACAACTAGTGCTGCTGAAAAAAGGGTCTCTCCCCGCAACATTTTGGGTCGGCCTGCGTTTTGCGGGCATTGCGTTGTAAGACGTGCGAGAAGCGGGCCATTGCAATCTCAAGGTCTTTGGATTGTGTCGTGCAACAGGCCTGGCTTACGCTTCCGACTTTCGGCAGGTCTCGTCTGCACTTTTCACGATACATGCACTGATATTAGCTCTTTGGAGGGGTCCGCTCTCGTTCTCCAGGTGTATTTTAAATCTACAACAACAAACAGAAGACCTCATTACCTGCATGCTCGAACCTTACATCAACGCATGTCGGAGATGAGCCCGGCCTTCAAAGCAGCACGGATGCCAGATCCGTTGTAGACTTCCACAGCAAGGCAGGAAACCAAAAGCAAAACCGGAGCGACCGGCGTGATCAGGGCCGAAGCCAAGCGAACGCTCGCAGCGTCAAAGCGGCATTGTAGGTTCAGGCCATTCTTCAGGCTTGCAACTGAAAATTGCAGAACCTGGCCAGAGTCGAAAGTTCCAGAAAACACAATTGTCTATCTATAACAATTGGCTTGCAAACAACTATGCATTTGACAACATTTGAAAACTGTAGATTGCAGGGGCTAAATGTCTAAGTAATTACTTCCAAACCCTCTTCACACCTCTACATACGGCAGTTCCCACAAGGATGTTGAACTCTGCGCTTGTTCTTCTCGTTCTTCTTTGGCAAGCACGGCAAGAACAGCCCACACCTGGCATGTTTGCAATAGGATGGGCGCCTGCCCCATGATCTGCGCTTTGAGCGCAGATAGCGCAGATGCTTCGGGTAGTTTTGCCTCTCCCGGCGTTCTCTGCTGTAGCCACAAGGCCAACACTGAAGCTACTGTCAAAGTAATGGCCGCAGCTATGGCGATGTGCAAGAGCTCTGGCATGGCATCTCTGCTTGGACACACTTCGCACATATTGCTGGCGGCATAGTAACCTGCCGCGCAATCCGAGCAGAGAATGCCGCTGTAGCCACCTGCGCAGCCGAGAGTGCTTGCAGCATTGGCGGACACGTTGCACCTGGTGTTTTTTGGGGGAAGACAGGGACGTGCCGTGGTGTCTTTCTCCTGAAGCTGGGCATGGCCAACTTCCGGCAGGCCTGAGGATAGCAACATGCCTGGGTGTGGGCAACGTAAATGGAAGTTGTAGCATGGCAGGCATTCATCCTTCCCATCTTTGGACCGGTTGGAGCCCTCCCCAGTAACACATCCACAGCGCTCCGTGCCGTTGTCATTGTAGCGTTCGCCCACGGTGCAGATGCATGATGTGGATCCTTCGGGTGCAGTGCTTCCTTCCTCACACTTCTGGCAAGATCCGTTGTACTCTCCATTGAAGTAGTTCGAAGGACACTTCTTACAGTCTGCTCCCGTACCATTGAAACCAGCAGAACAGCTGCACAACTCCTTCGGCAGAAACTGCGACGGCGTGATCTGCAGTGCTTTTGAAGTGAACTCGAAACATGCGAATCCACCTTCGACGCTCACCGAGGAGCGCTTGTCCGTACGGGTGAGCTGACCCCCTTCCAGGAGCTCTTGGGCCTCCTCGGTTGCGATCTGCTGCGATCAACGAGTCCACGGAAAAGGGATTGATTGAAGGTTTCGAAAGATTAACGATAGACAATCGAACAGAAGTGTTTCAAGAGTAATATGTTGCTTGCTTTAGAATCTAGAACGCAGGTGAGTCCCAGGGATGAACGGGCACCCAAAAGTGCCCTCGATGGTCGGGAAAATGATTGGACAATGTTGATGGAACAATTCGCATATGCTGATGAATATTTTGGCATAAATCGAAATCAAGATTCAGTCTTGTTCTCCAAAGTGACATTCTGCAAGTCCAGGAATATCCCGTCGGATACAGCCTTGGCAAGAACCCCGGCTGCAAAGGCTACTGACGGGTTGTCTGCTAGCAACAGGGCCTGCACACTCTGTGGGATCTCCTCGATGAAGGACATTTCGTTGGACGACACATCCAGACTCACCAAGGACCTCGCCAAAGGAGCAGCCCAAGAAGCCCAAGAGCGCCCGTCAACAACAGCGGACATGTGAGCCAGCTGGGGAAGACTTCCAAGGAGGCCGCAGCCGTCAGCCTTGATCGTGGCTAGAACCCTAGAAGCCAAGAGAGGCTGCAACATGTCTTTGACGTTGCCCCGCAAAGGACATCCAGATATGTCCAGCAACCTCAGCTTTGGGAAGATGGCGTTCTTTTCTTGCGTGTGAATCATCTGAAAATCCATCTGATCCTCAGCAGTCGGCAAGAATTCAACCTGGCTGTGGCTTAGCTTCAAGGACCCCAGAAGTGCACAGCGGCCCCGCCAGGAAGTTGTAAGCCGCCCAGTAGCCATTGTGCAAGATAGGTCCACCGACTCGATTTCTGGCCACTCGGTGAGGACGCCGATGTCACCAAAGACCAAGGTGTTGGACAAAGCGAGGTCCTTCATTTTGCTGTGGCCTTGCAGGCTGCTGATGTCACCGGAGACCCGTGTGTTGGTGAGGTCCAGCCGCCACAGCCAGGGGCTGTTTGCTAGGCTGCGGAGGTCACCGGAGACGTGGGTGTTTCTCAGGCCCAGCCACCGCAGCCAGTTTGCTAGGCTGCGGAGGTCACCGGAGACGTGGGTGTTGTCGAGGGCCAGGTGTTGCAGCTGGGGGCTGTTTGCTAGGCTGCGGAGGTCCCCGGAGACCTGTGTGTTGCCGAGGTACAGCTTTTGCAGGTGAAAGCTGTTTGCTAGGCTGCTGATGTCACCGGAGACTTGTGTGTTGTCGAGGGCCAGCCGCCGCAGCTGGGGGCTGTTTGCTAGGCTGCTGATGTCCCCGGAGACCTGTGTGTTGCTGAGGAGCAGCACCTGCAGCTGGGGGCTGTTTGCTAGGGTGCTGATGTCACCGGAGACTTGTGTGTTGTCGAGGTCCAGCTGCTGCAGCTGGGGGCTGTTTGCTAGGCTGCGGAGGTCCCCGGAGACCTGTGTTGTGCTGAGGTACAGCTTTTGCAGCTGGGGGCTGTTTGCTAGGCTGCGGAGGTCCCCGGAAACCCGTGTGTTGCTGAGGTACAGCACCTGCAGCTGGGGGCTGTTTTCCAGGCTGCTGATGTCACCGGAGACATTTGTGTTTTTCAGGTCTAGCCGCTGCAGCTGGGGGCTGTTTGCGAAACTGGCTAAGTCTCCTCCTGTCTTAGTGCCTTGGAGGCTGAAGTGCCGCAAAGAGCGAAGCTTTCCGATCTGTTCGTCCACGGTCCCCGGTGCATCTAGAAACTTCAGGTGGATCGCCGTGACTTCGCATCCTTTCCTTGGCTGTAAGCTCTTGGCAGGGTGTTGCAGATTTACAAAACCCCTCGTTAGTATCTCTGGACTGTTCCGAGGCTCTTTGTTGCTCAGCAAGAATGACGAAAGATGCGAATTGTGGTCCACAGCGGTCGCTCGTGGCAAGCAAATGCGAGACAAACCGTTGTCCAGTAAGGAGGCGTGTCATTACATGTCATTGTCGCTAGTAAAAGCACTAGCGTATTTGGAGGTCTGCAAGCGGTTTTGTCAACCAGGATATCTCAGAATGTGAACAACATGAAACCTAAAGCCCGGCACATCAGACAAATGTCAAACTCAGACAAGGATCCACTGGATATTTTCTGCGACATGCGACGGATCGACTCCCAGTTTCTTCAGGACGGCTTTCAACGCTGGCCACTGTAGACAGCCTGCCTTCTCTTCTCCTGGGGCAGATTTTGCGTTTCTTTTTTTTTATAGAAAAAAAACTTAGCAGTGGAACTGCAAATCCTATGCAGGATCTGTTTCGTGTCACAAATGAACATGCCACCTGCAAAACGACTCTGTTCCGCCCGCGAGATGCAACAAAACAACATACACCTGGACGCTGGACGCCTGGATGTGCCAACAACTCATCGACGTCCAGCGCTTTCTGGCCAAGCCGAGAACGTTTTGCAACTGCCAAGATCACGGCCAAGAAATGTAAGTAGACTTGCCGCATCAAAGATATGGAATAGGATTTATCTGTCTACGGACCTAGCTGGCTATGCCGGCACGCTTGCTGTCTCTGGGCCGATTGGCCTTGAGCCAATATTGGCAGCGTGGCCGGCTGCGTGTCCACAACCAAAGCGACAGCCAGCAATCGCTAGAGCGGCCAGCCCAGCAGTTGCCCTGCAGAGCCAATCTGAGCCCGAGCTTCAACCGGTTTCAAGCAGGTGGGTCGGGCCCAGGGTCCGGGCCCACTGGAATTTCAAGCAAAGTCCAAACTTGTTGTGCACCAAAATTGGCTTCCCAGATTTGAACAAGTCAAGGAACTCAGGGAGTGAGGAATGGACGAACAGGTCCAAGTTTTTGGATTATCCCGGCAACTGCTTGGTACGCACAATATCTCACAATGGTGCGCGTTCCTCATGTCAAGTTGGGTAGGAAGTTCTTGAAAAGCCATGTCGAGGGAATCCTAAGAATACTACACAATGAACGAACCCCTAAAACCGTGTCTCATGCCACGACCCTTTTCCCCATGCGAGGAGCGCCTTCTCCTCGGCTTCGAAGAAATTCAAGCGAAGCCTCAGCGCTTCGGCGGGTTCATTTCCGCGCCGCATACGGACCGTGATCTGGCGGGCGAAGGCAAATGGCACGATGCCCTTTATTGGGCTAAGGGGAAAAACAAAGGGCCAGGAGTCTTATTGTTTTTTGCTGTTGTTGTTTGGGAATTGTTCCTGGATGTTCTGTCTGGCAGGTACGATTTTGCTTGGTTCTGTGGCGGTTTGACTGGCTTTGCACCAGCGCTGTCAACATCCCCGGCTCGATTTCAACATCCTCAGCATCACCAGTTAGCTTTGAATCAAGGTTTGCTCGGGGTCTGGGACGGGGGATTGTTGGCTTAGGTGGGTTCAGAGGGTTTAGGGCCTGGAGATTCATTCTCCATGAATTTCCTGGTAGTTCTCGGCTTTGACTTGCTTTTCGTAAATCTCGATGTTTTTCTCGTGAAGTCGCCTAAAACTACTAAAGCTCCTATATTTTTGAGATTTCAGAATTGGTACGGTTTCACGTTTTCCCCGCCCAGAATTACCCGCAAAACGCCCGCAAAAAGCCCGCAAACGCCCGCAAAACCCCGCAGACGCCCGCAAATCAGAAAAAGACGCTTTTTGGGCTCGGGGGTCGCGCAAAACTCCTAGAAACCACTTAGAACGCCCAACACGCCCAAAACTAGCAGGAAACTAAAACGCCTAGGAAAAGGCCGGAGAATGAATCTCCAGGGGGGTTAATTTAGGGGGTTGAGTAGTGTGTGTGTCTTTTTTTTGGGGGGGGGTTGGGATTGCTTTAAGGTGGTTCGGAAAGGTGGGCTACTCAGGGATCGTGTTTTGCTTGTTTAATGAGGTAGGGGTTCGGGTGGGTTTCAGGACTGGCTTGGGGTGGTTGAAGGTTTCGGGTTGGTCTAGAGTTGGCTTCGGGATAGTTTATTGCTGGTTTAGAGTGGGTTTGTTTAGGGCTTTCTTTGAGGATTGGCTTAGGTTTGGTTTTAGGTTGGTTGTTGTCTGGTTTTTGCGGCGGTTTATGGTGGGTTTCCCGGTTTCGGGTTGTTTTAGAGCGGGCCGAGGGCCCGAGACGTGGGTTTAGGGGGGGCTTTGGATTCATCGGAGTACGTTCGGGGGCTTGGGTTCAACGGCCCTATAAAGAATTGGGGACACAGGAAAAAGCCTCAAGAAAAACAGGAAAATTCCTTTAAACAGTAGCCCTCCAAAAACAAATCAAGGGGGGAATCGTAGCAGCTGGCTGTCATCGGGTTGCATCCACTGTCCATCCACAGCGAGGTCTTTTTTGCTGCCTCCTTAGCGAAGATACAAGTCATCGAATTTTGGACGTTCGGGCTGCCAACCACGCAGAAGGCAACAGTTTGGTACTCTGCTGCCGGGGCGCTCGTTTTCCTCTGTGCCTGGGCGGTTTCTTTGCCAACGGGACAACTGAGTCACAATCTTAGTACTAAAAGGGATTCCAGGCCTCCAAACAAACGGCTTTTTCGCCTAGATTGGAGTCCTAAGAGAATGGACGGGCTCATGTTTCGACACATTCCCATGTCTGTGACTTTCAAGAATTCACCAATTGGACGTCCGCAGCACAAGTCCCCAAACATGTGTGCCTGTGCTGCGGGTGTGGGTGTGGGTGTGGGTGTGGGTGTGGGTGTGGGTGGGTGGGTGTTAGTGGGTGGGTGGGTGGGTAGGCGGGCGTGTCTGTGTCTACGTGCAGTCAAATGCATGCCATACGAATGCCTGACCTTCTCCTCGATTCTTTACCTAAGCTTCAAACGCAAAACGCTCCCTCGTCTAAACTGCCGCAACGCGGAAGCATGTTCTATCGGCGCTATAAGGAAACCTCAAGTAGGTGACCTTCATTGAGCTAGCTCGTTGTATCTCGGAGTCGGGGAGCTCGTTGCAATGTGCAACCAAATGAATCTGCTGACCGTCAAGGTCCCAGAAATTAATCAATGTAATCCTGGCCACGTGAAAGAAACTTTGGCCTGAAGACACCAAACCGTGTTGCGTCGGAATTCCCGGCGCAGTGTGGACTCTGAATCTCCATGTCTGTGCCTCGGGATGAAACAAAGGACGCGAAGAATGAAACCAAAGAACACTAGTATGAATCCACAAGAACCATCAGAATTTCCTGAAGTCCGGGAAAAAACAGCAACAACATCTACGTTTGGCCCTTAAGAGGGACAGCCGGACTCGGCGTACGAAGCCCAGGCCTGGACCAAAGCCAAGCCCCCGGCGAGCACTTCCGCGCCGCTTTGCACCTAGAGCCGCGATGCCTACGTCGATCAGAACTACGCAGGGGACATTTCGCTCGTTGGCGAGGCCCCGATCTTTGTTCGAGACAGTCTCAGATGCCCTGTGGCCATGGGACCAAAAGGCATCCTTGGCTGATTGAGTTTAAAGGGGACCCTTCCCCAAACAAATGGAAAAGGGCGGATGCAACCAATTTAAGCCAGTGGAACCCAAGATGGGTTCCAAACCAGCCCAATCAAAAAGACACCTCCCCTTAGAACCAAGCTGAATCACTTCCTAGGGGCTTCCCAGAATTTGTGGCTTTGAGCATTTTGATCCTGTGACAATTCAAGCAGAAGGGCCGTTCACAATTCACAAACACCTCATTCTCTCCAGGGGCCGTCAGCAACAGCATCCCAGTTGCTCGCAGGTAACACTCGGTCTAACCCACGGTCAGTTGGTCAATTTGGGGGCGTGAGGATTGCTGTGTGGGATGGTGTGAAGAAAAGTAAAAACTCCCGGGCAAGCTTCCAACCTCAAACCTTCCAAGTTGGAAACCCACTTGGGCCCTTAAGGTGATGATCGATGCAAGCAAAAAGGAGGAACGCAAGAGTAAGTGCATGCTTCAGGACCATCTCAACCCCTGCTGTTGGACCAAAAACCCTGCACCAGTAGGTGGTTTGTCTAAGTATTCATCGGGCTTCATCCGTTGCAATTGGTGCGAAGCGCGCTTTGTCCATCCACGGTATTTACCTTCTTGTTTGGCAGGCCCCCCGTGAAAATAGAGCCGAAAAGGGCTCCCTACCTTGGTCACGTCCACTGTCCAAACAAGCAGTGGTTGGGGGTGCTGGCAGGCAGGATTTCACCATGGACAAAGATGTAAAGATTCTGGGGTCCGAACCACCATTAAAACAAAGGGGGTTCGTGTAACCTCCATGTTTGCCCATCCAAATTGGGTCAACCATTGTTTGAATGGGGATTGAACCCTAAGGAAGATGTAAGATGGTCCAATTCAAACCGAATCGACCACGTCACTGGTTCAACTCCCGTCGACTCTGCGCTCTGCTCGGGCCCGTGCCAGGCTCCAGAGTTTCGCTGACCTGACCAAACGGGTTCAAAGCCGACTTGTCTAGGACTTGTCCAGACTGAGACCCCCTGCAAAACAAAAACTCGTAAAAGGCGGAAGAGTAAACAAGACAAATGGCAAGAGGGTTGGTTGAGTCTGGCGACGCATAAGTGCAGTGGGACATGCTGGGAGCAGGATGTGAGTGATACTCCAACATGAACCAAGCCAATGTCTCCCCTCTTCATCCGCAGATCGGGCCAACTAAACTCCTTGCTCTAGTCAAATTGTCCTCGGACACAAGCTCTCGTGATACTCCAGCTGCTTCATACCATGCAGCCAAGATCATTGCCATGAAAGAAAATCCTTTCACCAGTCCGAGACTGAACGAAGAATTAATAAGTTTGCAGTACCACAACTTCGGGGTGGCTGCGAAAAGAGATGAAACTTGGCTTCCCTGCAGCTCGGACAAAAATTTCACACGTCGTCTGTACAAACATCGGCTGCAAGGAGCGTGGGATGTGACGCCACGCAGGTTGTCGCTCATATGAAGCTACAGGTCTCCTCGGAATCACAGCGGTGGTGCAATGTGAACCCTCCTGAGACCCAAGCAATTAAAGTCTAGACACCATGAACACACAAACATATGAAATCGGATCATGATTGGCAGGAATTTCACAAATCAGTCAAGTTTCGACGACGACCTCCACTGCTTCGCCATCCTGGCGATCAGCACGAAACAAATCGACAAGAAAGAAGCATTCCACCACGCAGACAATGAGAAACAACAAGTCACAGGAGCAAACATGGTCTTACCGATCCGTTCGAGACCAGAACCTCACCTAATAAAGGCCCCAACAACCAAAACGAACCAGCTACCAACCTGAACAACCGGCTCCTTAAACAAGAAACAGAGACGAACAACGACTCTGGATGAAAAACCACTCCAACGTATGCCAAGCATCTTCCAGCTTTGGAATCTGCTGCTTCAGCTGCTCCCAGAGTCGTACCGAGAGGCTTTCCGTGCTGTCGGGCCTTAGGGCTAAGACCGCGCTGAGCAGGAAAGGCAACGCCAAGGCGACGCGACTCAACCTGGGCAAGGGCCGTTGTGATGATTTCGAGTGCTTCGAGTTGCGCGGAGAAACTCAACGTTTCTTCGCTAAAAGAACATCAGTCTTCGTTCCAAAGAGACCGCACAATGCTTTTGCTGGAAACAGAAACTGCTAAAATCGCAGGCGTTATTTTCTCTGAATCCCTGTCCTTTCTGCCAGTGTCAACAAGGGCAACCAATACTCCTCGCTTGTCCTCTATGGCCCCCAATGCGCCATTCGCCGGACATGACTTGTCGTAAGACATATCGTGAAAGACCTGGTTTACAAAACTCAAGTGGCTGTGGGTCAAAATGAAACCACCAGGAATTGGACCGCAGATTTTGGTCATGGTTCCATTTGCCAGGGCAACCCATTTTGGGTATTTTTGACTCACAGCCAAGTAGTCCAAGGATCGTTTCTTGACAAGAGAACGATCAAGGCCTCTGCGCACCAAGTCTACACGCGAGCAAACACTGCCAAGTAGCCAAGGCATGTGACATCTGAAGCTCAGTGACGCCAGAGCCAAGCACAAAAAGCAGCAGCATTGGAGAGTGTTGATCTCCGGGGGTAAACAGGCAAAGTTCCACGTACTTGAACAGGAATCCTTCTTGTGGCAGAAACAAAACGTCATGAATTCGGATTTGAGACCTTGGGGGCTGTGATTGAATGGCTTGAGACATGTTGAAACCCAATATCACTACCATTTTCATTCCTGGCCTGTGGCTGCAAAAACGGCTGCACCATTCTGCTTGTTGCAGCCATCAGCAAAGTGATCGCAACTGACAGCTCTACGCCATCTTCACTGCGTACCACTGACACCAACGCGATGGCGGCAGCTTTCTGCAGGATTTCCATGTACACATTTCGGCAACGAGCGTACTTGACGAAGATGTCTTTGGCGCCCGCCAAGACCGGCTCCTCTGCTTCGTTTTCTTCCAAAATGCACCGGTCCATCATGGCTTCAGCAAGTTCTCGGCTCTTCAAGGAGCCAACGTCAACTTTAGCAGCCAGACTGATCGCACCAGCGCTTGGAAGCTCATCGGTTCGAGAGGAATCGCCTTCACTCGCGGTATGGCCAAAAAAGCAAAAGAATGAGAGCCAAACCAGTTCTCCAAACCGTGGTAAAACAAACATTTGCTCGCCTGCGATGGGCTTCACGATCACTGTGCCCTGCTTCAATTCCACAGTCACACGACCTCGCTTCAGAACGGAGATGTAGGCCGCAGCCGCTGCCACCAAGCGCCGTGTGAACGTCGCATGCTTGAGAGTCGATTTGTCCTTGGCACGGCAATTTGCAGGGCAGGGAGAAAAAGGACAATGGCATTCAGTTTCGTTGAATCATCCAACTTGAGCATTCAGCAAGCTCAAGTGTGGAAAAAGACAGGTCCTCAGCTCGAAAGCTGCGCTCAAAGATTGCACATACGAAAATAATTACACGTTTCATTTCCCCCACAGACTTGTTTCTGTGCGTCAATAGTTTTGTGCCACGTGCCAGCAAGTCACAGGTGACGAGCTTTTTGCTTTCACCAGCCACACTTCCAAATCACCATGGTCTGCTGCCAACGACACAGTCTCCTTGCCTGGTAAAAGCACAAAATGTTGTTTGGCATATAAGTATATGAGGCATCCGGGAACCACAATGCCGTAGCAAAAGGCAGTGGTCATGCCTGCGCATCCACGTAGGGTCCAAGAGGATCATTGTGGCAACGAAGGTGAGGAAGCAACTTGCGGAAAGTAAGCCTCGTGTGGAGCAACATAAAGGATTACATGCAAAGAATTCCATCGAAGCCCAGAAGACAGATAGCATCGAAACCAAGAAGACAGATAGGTTCTACAAGTACGGGGTCCCACTGTGCCACCTGGCCGCACTCTTTGGTAAGTCAACTCGGCCTTTACCCGATATTCTCCCTTGGTAGCTAAGGAGGTACTGAACGACCCCTTTTGGCCCCCCAAAAGCCATCCTCATAAGGTACCAAAAAACCCTCTGGGTTTGGAACAACCATCAAAAACCGTAAAAAACCTGCGGCGAGGCACTCCTCCTTGAGGAGATTGCCTGCCCCGTCCGTCGTTTGGCAGCTCAACAGCTTTGATGCTGCGGACGCCCCCCCAATGTACAACATCGTCAGGACCTGCGGCAAACGACACGACAAGCAACCTGAATCGGATTGAGAATGGCTGCAAAACAAAACTTTACGGCAGAATGGCCCTTTCAGGCTGCACCCTTCAGTAGCTGCAAAATGTCAGCACAACTATTTGCTTGACAGCTCTATTCTTTGGAAGGTGCGGGGTGTAGGCTGTTCAATCTTGCGCGCACACACACGAGGACAACTTGACCTTCCGCAACCTGCTTCTTGCGGGTCTCTCCAAATCTTTGGGGACTGCTTTCCGGCGGCCTCAGCATTATTTGAAGCGCTTGCCTAAATGGGTGCAAAAGCAAGCAGAGAAGTGTACTCTTGGCAAACTGTCTTTTAAGGATTACTTGTAAATTGACTGTTGTCAGCGTGTCTCCGCCGTGAACCTGTTTGAGCCTGTACTTCATTCCAGCCTGATTGGAGAGAACACGAGCTGCAGCAAAGCCCTTACGCACCATTCTTTGGGAAGATTGTCACCAGCAGTTGCAGTACTTATCTGGGTGAATTATAATATTTCACCAACCTGAAATAAGGTGGTTGGGGGGCTATTCCCAACATAAACCACCAATTGGGTTGATTATGGTGTTGTCTGTTTATCTGTGCGAGTTTTGTGCGCGTCAGCGGCCCCAGGAGTGTGTGGAAACACGAATTGTTGGACGAATGTGGGCGCAGCGTGAGCAGAATATGTGGCGTAAGTGTTGCTCGAGATTTTGCGCGAAAACCTCTGTTGGCGCGAAAGGTAAGTGTTGCACAAGTATTCCCTTACAAATGCCGCCTGGCTTGCACTGTTTTGCTACTCCGCTTGATGTACATTGTGTATCGGCAGAAGTGTTTCCACCTTAGTTCGAATGCAGTGAAAGCAATCCTTTGGATAGGTGGTCAAGACAATACCCACATCAGCGAACTCATGCCGTGTCCGCAACCAGTGCTGCAGCAAAAAAGGTATCTCTCCCCGCAACATGTTGGGTCGGCCTGCGTTTTGGGGCATTGCGTCGTAAGAACTGCGAAAAGCGGGCCTTTGCAATTTTAAGGCCTTTGGTTTGTGTCGTGCAAGAGATCTGACTTGCTTCCGACTTCCGGCAGGTCTCGCCTGCACGTTTCACGATACATGCTCTGACATTGGAGGGGTCCGATCTCGTTCTCCAGGTGTATTCTGAATCTACAACAAACACAACACCTCAATGCCTGCATGCTCGAACCGTACATCAACGCCGGAGAGGCCGGCCTTCAACGCAGCACGGATGCCAGATCCGTTGTATACTTCCAAAGAAAGGCAGGAAACCAAAAGCAACACCGGAGCGACCGGCGCGATCAGGGCGGAAGCCAAGCGAACGCTCGCAGCGTCAAAGCGGCATTGCAAGTTCAGGCCATTCTTCAGGCTGTCAAATGAAAATTGCAAAACCTGGTCAGAGTCGAAAGTTCCAGAAACACAATTTCCTAACTGTAGCGGTTGGCTTGCAAACAAAGACAACTGCAAATTGCACCTTCCAACCCTCTTCATGCCTCTACGTACGGCAGTTCCCACAAGGATGTTGAGCTCTGCGCTTGCTCTTCTTTGGCAAGCACGGCAAGAACAGCCCACACCTGACAAGTTTGTAACAGGATGGGCGCCTGCCCCTTGATCTGCTCTTTCAGCGCCGACAGCACAGATGCTTCGGGTAGTTTTGGTTCTCCCGGCGTTCTCCGCTGTAGCCACAAGGCTAACACTGAAGCTACTGTCAAAGTACTGGCCGCAGCTATGGCGATGTGCAAGAGCTCTGGCATGGCATCTCTGCTTGGACACACTCGCACATATTGCTGGCGGCGTAGTGACCTGCCGCGCAATCCGAGCAGAGAATGCCGCTGTAGCCACCTGCGCAGCCGAGAGTGCTTGAACCATTGCCGGTGGACACGTTGCACCTCGTGGACTCCGGAGGAAGACAGCGAATTGCCGCGGTGTCTTCCTCTTGAAGGCGGGCATGGCCCACTTCCGGCAGGGCTGAGAAGAGCCGCATGCCTGGTTCTGGGCAAAGTAAATTCAAGTCGTGGCATGGCAGGCAATCTTTCTCATCCTTCCCGTCTTTGGACCTGACGATGAAGCCCTCCCCAGTAACACATCCACAGCGCTCCGTGCCGTTGTCATTGTAGCGTTCGCCCACGGTGCAGATGCATGATGTGGATCCTTCGGGTGCAGTGCTTCCTTCCTCACACTTCTGGCAAGATCCGTTGTACTCTCCATTGAAGTAGTTCGAAGGGCACTTCTTACAGTCCGCTCCCGTACCATTGAAGCCAGGAGAACAGCTGCACAACTCCTTCGGCAGAAACTGCGACGGCGTGATCTGCAGTGCTTTTGAAGTGAACTCGAAACATGCGAAGCCACCTTCGACGCTCACCGAGGAGCGCTTGTCCGTACGGGTGAGCTGACCCCCTTCCAGGAGCTCTTGGGCCTCCTCGGTTGCGATCTGCTGCGATCAACGAGTCCAAAGGGATTGACTGAAGGTCTCGAAAGATCAGCGATAGACAATCGAACAGCAGTGTTTCAAGAGTAATATGTTGCTTGCTTTAGAATCTAGAACGCAGGTGAGTCCCAGGGATGAACGGGGGCATATGCTGATCATGAAGATTTTGGCATAAATCGAAATCAAGATTCAGTCTTGTTCTCCAAAGTGACATTCTGCAAGTCCAGGAATATCCCGTCGGATACAGCCTTGGCAAGAACCCGGCTGCAAAGGCTACTGACGGGTTGTCTGCTAGCAACAGGGCCTGCACACTCTGTGGGATCTCCTCGATGAAGGACATTTCGTTGGACGACACATCCAGACTCACCAAGGACCTCGCCAAAGGAGCAGCCCAAGAAGCCCAAGAGTCCCCGTCAACAACAGCGGACATGTGAGCCAGCTGGGGAAGACTTCCAAGGAGGCCGCAGCCGTCAGCCTTGATGGTGGCTAGAACCCCAGAAGCCAAGAGAGGCTGCAACATGTCTTTGACGTTGCCCCGCAAAGGACATCCAGATATGTCCAGCAACCTCAGCTTTGGGAAGATGGCGTTCTCTTCTTGCGTGTGAATCATCTGAAAATCCATCTGATCCTCAGCAGTCGGCAAGAATTCAACCTGGCTGTGGCTTAGCTTCAAGGACCCCAGAAGTGCACAGCGGCCCCGCCAGGAAGTTGTAAGCCGCCCAGTAGCCATTGTGCAAGATAGGTCCACCGACTCGATTTCTGGCCACTCGGTGAGGACGCCGATGTCACCAAAGACCGAGGTGTTGGACAAAGCGAGGTCCTTCATTTTGCTGTGGCCTTGCAGGCTGCTGATGTCACCGGAGACCCGTGTGTTGGTGAGGTCCAGCTTTTGCAGGTGAAAGCTGTTTGCTAGGCTGCGGAGGTCCCCGGAGACCTGGGTGTTTCTCAGGAGCAGCACCTTCAGCTGGGGGCTGTTTGCTAGGCTGCGGAGGTCACCGGAGACCCGTGTGTTGCGGAGGCCCAGCTGCTGCAGCTGAAAGCTGTTTGCTAGGCTGCTGATGTCACCGGAGACCCGTGTGTTGCTGAGGTACAGCTTTTGCAGCTGAAAGCTGTTTGCTAGGCTGCTGATGTCACCGGAGACTTGTGTGTTGTCGAGGTCCAGCTGCTGCAGCTGGGGGCTGTTTGCTAGGCTGCTGATGTCACCGGAGACTTGTGTGTTGTCGAGGTCCAGCTGCTGCAGCTGGGGGCTGTTTGCTAGGCTGCGGAGGTCCCCGGAGACCTGTCTGTTGCTGAGGAGCAGCACCTGCAGCTGGGGGCTGTTTGCTAGGCTGCTGATGTCACCGGAGACGTGGGTGTCGTCGACGGACAGCTGCTGCAGCTGGGGGCTGTTTGCTAGGCAGCGGAGGTCCCCGACCTGTGTGTTGCTGAGGAGCAGCACCTGCAGCTGGGGGCTGTTTGCTAGGCTGCTGATGTCACCGGAGACCCGTGTGTTGCCGAGGAACAGCTTTTGCAGCTGAAAGCTGTTTGCTAGGCTGCTGATGTCACCGGAGACCCGTGTGTTGCTGAGGAACAGCCCCTGCAGCTGGGGGCTGTTTGCTAGGCTGCTGATGTCACCGGAGACCCGTGTGTTGCCGAGGTACAGCTTTTGCAGCTGAAAGCTGTTTGCTAGGCTGCTGATGTCACCGGAGACCCGTGTGTTGCTGAGGTACAGCTTTTGCAGCTGAAAGCTGTTTGCTAGGCTGCTGATGTCACCGGAGACTTGTGTGTTGTCGAGGTCCAGCTGCTGCAGCTGGGGGGCTGTTTGCTAGGCTGCTGATGTCACCGGAGACTTGTGTGTTGTCGAGGTCCAGCTGCTGCAGCTGGGGGCTGTTTGCTAGGCTGCGGAGGTCCCCGGAGACCTGTCTGTTGCTGAGGAGCAGCACCTGCAGCTGGGGGCTGTTTGCGAGGCTGCGGAGGTCCCCGAAAACCTGTGTGTTGGTGAGGCCCAGCTGCTGCAGCTGGGGGCTGTTTGCTAGGCTGCTGATGTCCCCGGAGACCTGTGTGTTGCTGAGGAGCAGCACCTGCAGCTGGGGGCTGTTTGCTAGGGTGCTGATGTCACCGGAGACTTGTGTGTTGTCGAGGTCCAGCTGCTGCAGCTGGGGGCTGTTTGCTAGGCTGCGGAGGTCCCCGGAGACCTGTGTGTTGCTGAGGTACAGCTTTTGCAGCTGAAAGCTGTTTGCTAGGCTGCTGATGTCACCGCAGACTTGTGTGTTGTCGAGGTCCAGCTGCTGCAGCTGGGGGCTGTTTGCTAGGCTGCTGATGTCACCGGAGACCTGTGTGTTGCTGAGGAGCAGCACCTGCAGCTGGGGGCTGTTTGCTAGGCTGCTGATGTCCCCGAGACCTGTGTGTTGCTGAGGAGCAGCACCTGCAGCCGGGAGCTGTTTGCCAGGCTGCTGATGTCACCGGAGACTTGTGCGTTGCTGAGGTACAGCTTTTGCAGCTGGGGGCTGTTTGCTAGGCTGCGGAGGTCCCCGGAGACCTGTGTGTTGGTGAGGCCCAGCTGCTGCAGCTGGGGGCTGTTTGCTAGGCTGCTGATGTCACCGGAGACCTGTGTGTTGCTGAGGAGCAGCACCTGAGCTGGGGGCTGTTTGCTAGGCTGCTGATGTCCCCGGAGACCTGTGTGTTGCTGAGGAGCAGCACCTGCAGCTGGGGGCTGCTTGCTAGGCTGCTGATGTCACCGGAGACTTGTGTGTTGTCGAGGTCCAGCTGCTGCAGCTGGGGGCTGTTTGCTAGGCTGCGGAGGTCCCCGGAGACCTGTGTGTTGCTGAGGAGCAGCACCTGCAGCTGGGGGCTGTTTGCGAAGCTGTCCAAGTTTCCTTCTGTCTTGGTGCCTGCGAGGCTGAAGTGCCGCAAAGAGGGAAGCTTTCCGATCTCTTCGTCCAGGGTCCCGTTCACATCCAAGTCGCTCCCCAGGTGGATCTCCGTGACTTCGCACCCTGCCCTTGGCTTCAAGCTTTTGGCAGTGTGTTGCAGCTTCACAAACCCCTATGTTCGATCTCTGGACAGGTCCAAGTCTCGTATTTTCCCGGCAAGCATGACGAAACATGCCAATCGTGGTCCACACGGTCGCCCGCAGCAAGCAAATTAATGACATGCGAGACAAATCTGCGTTTCATCACGGTAGTGTAGAATCTGAGACCTGTGCATGAGAACAACACGAAACCTAAAGCCCCGCAAATCAAAAGAATACTATGAAACTCGACCAAGGATCCACTTGATCTTTCCTCCCACGACCGACGGATCGACGCCCAGTTTCTGCAAAACGGCATTCAACGCTGACCATTGTGGACAGCCTGCCTTTGCTTCTCCTGGGGCATCTGTGTTTAAAACCAGCTTGGCAGTGGACAAGCTACAAGTCCCACAGGATCTGGTTAGCGTTTCAAACCGTTGAGAATGCCGCCAGCAACGCGAAAGTGTTCTGCCCGCAAGACGCAAACAAAAAAACAGCACGAACCTGACGAGTTGCCTCCAGGTGCCAACAACTCATCGACGTCCAGCGCTTTCTGGCCAAGCCGAGAACGTTCTGCAACTGCCAAGATCAAGGCCAAGAAATGTAAGTAGACTCGCCGCATCAAAGATATGGAATAGGATTTATCTGTCTACGGACCTAGCTGGCTATGCCGGCACGCTTGCTGTCTCTGGGCCGATTGGCCTTGAGCCAATATTGGCAGCGTGGCCGGCTGCGTGTCCACAACCAAAGCGACAGCCAGCAATCGCTAGAGCGGCCAGCCGCAACCACCAACCCCCCACCCAACCCCCCAACCCCCCCAACCCCCCAACCCCCCAACCCCCCAACCCCCCAACCCCCCAACCCCCCAACCCCCCAACCCCCCAACCCACCAGCCCAGGAGTTGAACAGAAAAGCGGCCAAAAACCCCGTGTCAATCTGAGCCCTGGGAGCTTCAACCGGTTTCAAGCAGGTGGAGTCGGGCCCAGGGTCCGGGCCCACTGGGACTTCAAAGTCCAAACTTGTGGGCTGGCCGCAAACTTGTGGGCTCCAATTTCTCAGCGGGGTCAATCTGCCAATTAGCGGCTCGGCCTTGCGAGTTCCAGAAGGTTTTGGTCAAGCCGGGTCCGGGCCCCTTAGAATTTCTCGTCAGTGGATTGACTAAACAAGTCCAAGCTTGTTGTCCCCTAAAACCGTCTTCAATTTGAACAAGTCAAATCACGGAGCGAGGAATGGAGACACTGGTGCCAGGGTGCTCCGAGTTTTGGAGTGTCATTGCAATCCTGCTTTCGTACTCGCAGTGGTGTACGTTCCTCACGTCAAGCTGGTGACCGTGTTCTCTCAAAGAAACAAAGATCGGGCACCACTTTCTGCCAAGGACGGGTTTCTGCCAGTGGATGAATGGCTTTACATTATATAATCTCTCAATGAGCTTTCTCAAGCGTTTGTTCCTTCCTCATCCAAGGCTTTTCCAAGCATCGTTGTAGGACCACTGATATCAGTGAGGACTAAGATAGATACTGACAAAAAGCCAGTTCGAGGCAATCCTAAGAATACTATACAATGAACCAATGAACCGGCAAAAATTGGCAAAATCGCGCCGAGATCTGAACCGCCGTTTCCCCATGCCAAAGAGCGCCTGGACCTTCTCGGCTTCGAAGGCCAAGCGGAGCCTCGGCGCTTCGGCGGGTGGCCCCCTGCCATCGGATCTGGAGGGTGAAGCACATGGCACAAGGTCATTTGTTCGGGGAAGGGGATATCCGGGAGAACTAGAGGCCTCAAGTTGGAAGCAAATGGCACGATGTCGTTGATGGTGAGGGGACGGCTAAAATCAAAGGCAGAAATTCTGCCATCTACTGTCACCCAGTGTTGTGGATGGACATAAATCCCGCACCAGTTGATACATGGCTTGTCACAGTTGTCATAGGATTGCATCCATCCCAGTTTGGACACCTCCTTAGCGAAGAAATTGGGGTTTCCGGAAAGGCGGGGGGGGGGGGGTTGCTGGCCGTGCAGAAGGCTGGCTTGGCGCTCTGCTGCCGGGGCGCTCGGTTTCCTCTGCGCCTGGGCGTTTTTGTCGACAACGGGAAAGCTGACTCACAATCGTAGTACTAAACTGGTGCCTAACAATAAGTACGGAATCTAAAGGACACCCGGGGTCTGATGTCCAACAGGTGCCTGGCAGATTCCAGACCTCCAAACAGACAGGGCGGCTTTGGCCATGAACAATCATGAACACAACAACTGTTTGCCCAGATTGCAGCCCCCAAAACTTGGTTGGTTTCATGTTTCGACGCATTCCCATGTGTGACATGTTTTGTGACTTGCAATAATTCGCCAATTGGACAGCAGCGGTCGCAAGTCCTTGAACATGTGTTTGTGTGTGTGTGTGTGTCAATTTTGCTCGAACCTCCAACAATTGCAGTTTACTGGAACCTGCCAGAAAATCAGAAGGTCTGGTGGGGAAAATCCAGTGAACTCCTCAAACACGGTACCCTTTCTTGAGGCACATATTCACTGGGCCAACAGCCCAAAAACAGAAGTTCGGCTTCTTCTCCGCGTTTAGCATTTTCCACAAGATTTGGCCAGTCCATTCTTGGCGCAAGTGCCCGTGGATCCCTCAAATCCCTCAAGTGTGTCTATTCAGTCTGCTCTTGATACTTCCGCGCTTGCAATGCATGCGTGCGTGCGCGGGGCCTAAGAGTGGCCAGTGCTTGGCAAGCCATAAGGGCAAACATCGCAAACCTAAAGCCAGGCGCATGGATCCATTGATTCACCTAAGGCCTTGCCAGCCGATATAAAATCAATAGGAAAAAACATCGAAGGGTTGCCTACTGTAGCCGTAACTGGTATGGAGAAGACTCCTGGCTGACCGTTATGGGAACTGGAGTTCATGCGGGAGAAAAACAAGCAAGAGAAAAACAAGCAACAAAAAGGTCACATATTAGGATTTGGCGGTCAAACTCCAAAATAGAGTAGCAGCTTCCAAAAGATCTAAGGGGCCCAGGGGTGTTTTGGATCAACCAAAGACCGGCCATGGTACAATCAAGCTGCCGCGCCTAGGCATGGAAACTGTTTGAATATTGTTTGTCATAAAGATCGTTGTAAGAAGCGCCCCGTTGACCCACTCACTTTTGGTTTTATCAATGCTATCAAGGTTGATGCATAGCATATGGTTCGTGGACCGTTAGACAGCTCAAATCAAGGTCATGTCTGAGTCCAACAAGCGCAGTTGTCAAATGACGGACGTACCCTGCCTTCTTCGCCTTCGAAATTCTAAGCTTCAAATGCAAAACGCTCCCTCGTGTTCACCCGCACGCCGAAGCATGTTCCATGGCGCAAGGAAAGCCCAAGGACCTTGGGTGAGCGAGCTCGTTTGATCCGTTTGATCCGGTGAGCTCGTTGCAATCAACCAGATTCCTCTGCTTGTCACGGAGAACATTTGCAGCATCTCCCGGCTTGGTCTGATGCTCAAAATGTCACGGTCCTCTGAAACATACGACTCATCCATGTCTCCAAGCCGGGTTTTCTTCGCCAGAGAAGAATCAAACCAAAGAACAAGATGAAACTGCAAGAATCCGATCCCTTCCAAGGCGCTTAGACCCCTTTTTAGCCCCTAAAAGCCATCCTCGTGGGGTACTTGGACCTGTGGGTATGACTCTCTGGAACAATTATGGAACAAAAGCAGCGACATTGGCCCTAGGAGCACAGCCAAGCCCCCGGCCAGCATTTCCGCGCTGCTTTGCACCTAAGGGGAGACACGCTCCCTAACCCCCTGTCCGCAATGCCACATTGAAAATGTTGTGCGTCCCTGGTAAGTGTTCATTTTTATTGATGTTTCCATGGCCCATGTCCCTCCCCTCACTGGACTATAGACTACCAGTAAAGTTCACAAAGCATACAACAAAAAACAGCTCCGTGTGGCCAGCCTCGCCAGACAGGGGCAACCCCAGTGATTCCAGTTGAGAGTTTCCGCTTTAAAAGCAACTGCAAAGCAGCAACCCTGAACAAAAGACGGCCCATTTACCTGCATCAATGGCGGTATCTAAGGGCACACGAAAACTCAAAGGACAATACTCTGATAATTGGGAACCTTCTGAGGGTCAGGCCTTTAGGCCATTTGGGTGTGGCTCAAAATTAAAGGGCCAGGGTTACGCATGTTAGTCTTTGGTTCCATTTACCAAGGGCCATTTTGGTACATTTTTTTGAGCCACAGCCATTTTGGATCCAGTGGGTGTGGCATTTGGATGACTTGGGGCTTCAGCTCCACTCCGAGGAGCCCCACTGGGCGCCGGCAGTGCCGGCGAAGCGCTGGACACATGATCGAAGCCGAGGCAAAGACCTGGACCCTGAAAACTCCATGGACCCTCACTTGATTGCTGTTGACCCTGCAAAAAGTTGACAACTTGTTGGGGGGTTAGTGGAAAACCCCTTGATTTAATGGAAAACCCCTTGAACACCTCTCAACTGGGCCCGTTTTCAGATACCCCGCAAAAAGTAGCTAACTTTTAGAGGGTTGAATGGAAATCCAAGCACTCAACACTAAACAGCTAAAAGGCCTTCCGGAACCGGATGGCCTTCGGGAACCACCAAGGAACAAATTGGCCTTTGTCGGGTCTTGGGCTTCCTGGACCCTCAAAGTTCGATTCCCTGCGGGCAATCGAACTGCCCTACCAAACAAAATGGCGATTTGCCACAGGATTGTGGACGGTGTCATTTTAGAACCACTTTGAAATATGATGGAGCATCTCGTTGAAAAGGGAGTACTCACATCCTATTCCACGTACGCAAAGCCAGACTCAACCAACCCCTTGTCCGCTTTACTTTTGCCTTTGTTCAGCCCGTGCGGTGTGTTTTTGCAGGGGGTCTCAGTCTGGACAAGTACCTTGACCCTCAAACTACCCATAAAACACGGGAATTGGCCCAATCACTTTGGGTTGCACCAACCCATCTTTGAAGTCGGAATTTTGAGGCAATGCGTGAGCAGAGGCTTCTAAGGTCGAATAGCTACAATCAACTGGCAAAGGCAACTGCTCATGCCAGAAATTGCAAGGCAGGTCTACCACAAGTCATGCATATCGCTATCCTCGGAAAGAACTTGTGGCGGATGGAATTTGAGTTTTCAAGCAGGGCGAACTTGGACCAAGCCAACGTCTCCCTTCTTCGTCAGTAGATCGGGCCAACTAACTTGTTCTAGTCAAATTATCCTCCGCAAAGTATGCACACACCAGCAAGTGAGGTACTCCGCTACTTGACATGGAACCCAAAAAGGGTCCCTCAAAAGAGACTTTTACTTGTCAGTTCAGGGGAATAAGGAGTGACTGCAAGTACATTGTCTGGCAGGACGACCCAAACCAGGTCACCCAATTGAGGCCGACTTGCCAGATCACCGTTTTGGTTGGCGGTCTAGGTTTTGATTTAGAGCCAGCTGATCTGGGTAGCACAGTTTCAATAGTTTTTAGGGTTAGGTTTTGGTTTAGGTGAGGGCGATGAGTTCTAATGAACAGGATACGATCGCCTGCACCAAAGATTGTCAGTTTCCTTTTAACTACCCGTTCAATCCCAACATGGGGGTGCCTTTGAAGGCAAAACCACATCCAAGCACAACCTGGGTCACGCTGGATTGCAGGGGGCACATACCACACTCAAATGGTGAGGGGGCGCGAAATACTCGCAGAATATGTTTGTCGTGCATTGGTCACCCCTTTCTCAACTTGACTTCCCCGAAAGTTTACAGCTCATGATCTCAGGAACTGAGGGCATTCCCCCCAAACTAACCTGCCCGTTTTCAGATCCGCAACAAGTGGCGAACTTCTAGTGGGTTAAATGGAAATCCAAGCACTAAACACTAAAAAGCTCAAAGACTTTGGAACCGGATGGCTGGGACCCACCAAGGAACATATTGGCCTTCTTGCTCTATGCGAAGGAAGTTCGTCCTTTTGTAAAACATGAGGTTTTCTCGAAAGAATACTCCCACAAGTGAAATGTTAAGACTTTGTCTGCTTCTGGAGCAAGGCGAACGCCTTTCATGTTCAGCTTCAAACACTCTCTGAGAAATCCATCTGATCATTTGAAATTGATATCCGACAAAAGCTCTGAGAACACGTGATTCTTCTGCTTCATCATACCTTGCGGCCGAGATGCTTGGCCATCAAACAACGCTTTCTCCACGAGTCAGAGACTAAACTACCAATAATAATATAATATATTTGCAGTCACGTGGTTTCTGCCCAAAAGAAGATAACTCAACTTGGCATTCCCGCAGCACGGACTTTTTTTCACACGCAGTCGTCTCTGCAGGTGGGATGCGACGCCAGGCACGTTCTCCCCCACATTATGAAGGTAAAGGTCTCCTCGCCACACGCCCTGCTGGTATGTCCACCGTACTCAGACCAAAGAAAGCCTGGACAGGATGAACCAACAGACATTTAAAAAACAAAAAAAAACATATTCACAAATCAGTCAATAACGACGACCTCCACTCATAAAGGCCCCACAACCAACAAACATCAACAAACCCACCAGCTGCCAATCTGATGAACCGGCTTCCAAAGCAAAGAACAGCAACTCTAAATGAACAACGACTCCAACGTATGCCAAGCATCTTCCAGCTTTGGAATCTGCCTCTTGAGCTGTTCCCAGAGTCGTGTCGAGAGAGGCGTTCCGTTCTGTCCGGCCTTCGGGCTAAGAAGGCGCTCAGCAGGAAAGGCAATGCCAAGGCGATGCGACTCAACCTGGGCAAAAAGGGCCGTTGCGCAGTCTTCGTTCAGAAGCGACCGTGTTGGACAGGAAAAACGGCGAAACGTAATTGACCTTCTTGAATAACCTTCTGCTGCTTGAAAGCTTCCAGTGCCCACCAGTGTGTCACCCGAGATCTGTGTGCTGCTGCGGTCCAGCCACTGCAGCTGGGGATTGTTTGCCAGGCTGCTGAGGTCACTCGAGATTTGTGTGCTGCTGAGGTCCATCCACTCCACCTCGAAATGTCTTGCGAGGCTGCTGAGGTCACCCAAGATGCTGAGGTCCAGCCACTGCAGCTGTGGATTGCTTGCCAGGCTGCTGAGGTATGTCTTGCGAGGCTGCTGAGGTCACCCAAAATGCTGAGGTCCAGCCACTGCGGCTTGTGTGCTGCTGAGGTCCACGCACTGCAGCTCGGGATTGTTTGCCAAGCTGCTGAAGTCACTCAAGACTTGTGCGCTGCTGAGGTCCATCCGCTGCAGCTCGAAATGTCTTGCAAGGCTGCTGAGGTCACCAAGATGCTGAGGTCCAGCCACTGCACCTGAGATTGCTTGCCAGGCTGCTGAGGTCACTCGAGATCTCCAGCTCGAAATGTCTTGCGAAGCTGCTGAGGTCACCCAAGATGCTGAGGTCCAGCCACTGCAGCTGGGGGGATTGCTTGCCAGGCTGCTGAGGTCACTCGAGATTTGTGTGCTGCTGAGGTCCACCCACTGCAGCTCGGGATTGTTAGCAAGTGCTGAGGTCACTCGAGATTTGTGTGCTGCTGAGGTCCAGCCACTGCAGCTGGGGATGTCTTGAGGCTGCTAAGGTCACCCGTGCTGCTGAGGTCCAGCCAGTGCAGCTGGGGATTGTTTGCCAGGCTGCTGAGGTCACTCGAGATTTGTGTGCTGCTGCAGCTCGGGATGTCTTGCGAGGCTGCTGAGGTCACCCAAGATCTGTGTGTTGCTGAGGTCCAGCCGCCGCAGTTTGCGAGGCTGCTGACATCACCCGAAATCTGTGTGTTGCTGAGGTCCAGCCACTGCAGCTGGAGATGGCTTGCGAAGCTGCTGAAGTCACCCAAGATCTGTGTGTTGGTGAGGTCCAGCCACTGCAGCTGGGGATGTGTGTTGCTGAGGTCCAGCCATTGCAGCTAAAGGATTGCGAGGCTGCTGAGGCCACCCAGATCTCGGTGTTGCTGAGGGCCAGCCGCTGCAGCGCCGGATTGCTTGCCAGGCTGCTGAGGTCACCCGAGATGTGCGTGTGGCTGAGGTCTAGACAGATCTGGTTATAAGACTCCTAAGTGGGTTATAACCATAGTTACGAACCACTTGCTAAGTACCCTGCCCCTTTAAGTGTCCATTTGTTTAACGCTCTTCGTGCGAGGAGGCAACTCTGAGATGGCGGTGGGTGCACAGAATGCTACGCCTGCCCCGATTTCAGCAATGGCACCTCCAAAGTGCTGCACCTGCCACGATTTCGCGTGCCCCGAGCAGCGCGCGCGACAACATCCTGTCCCTGTAGACAGCTGCCAAACGCTGCCCCGGCCAGACAATCCAGATGCACAGAAGGCTGCGCCTGCCACGATTTCGGCGCTGGCGTCTCCGGCATCTCCAAAGTGCTGCGCCTGCCACGAGTTCGCGCGCCCCGAGCTGTGCGCGCCACAACATCCTGTTGAAGGCTGCCCCTCCCACAGAAACTACTTCCAGATGCACAAACTGCCACGTCGATTTTGAGTGTGGAGTGGAGTGGAGTGGAGTGGAGTGGAGTGGAGTGGAGTGGAGTGGAGTGGAGTGGAGTGGAGTGGAGTGGAGTGGAGTGGAGTGGAGTGGAGTGGAGTGGAGGAGTGGAGTGGAGTGGAGTGGAGTGGAGTGGAGTGGAGTGGAGTGGAGTGGAGTGGAGTGGAGTGGAGTGGAGTGGAGTGGAGTGGAGTGGAGTGGAGTGGAGTGGAGTGGAGTGGAGTGGGGAGTGGAGAGGAGTGGAGAGGAGTGGAGAGTGGAGAGTGGAGTGGAGTGGAGAGCGGAGCGGGGAGGTGGAGTGGAGTGAGTGGAGTGAGTGGAGTGAGTGGAGTGAGTGGAGTGAGTGGAGTGGTGGAGTGCGTGGAGTGGAGTGAGTGGAGTGAGTGGAGTGAGTGAGCGAGTGAGCGAGTGAGCGAGTGAGTGAGTGAGTGAGTGAGTGAGTGAGTGAGTGAGTGAGTGAGTGAGTGAGTGAGTGGGTGGGTGGGTGTGGGTGAGTGAGTGAGTGAGTGAGTGAGTGAATGAGTGAGTGAGTGAGTGAGGGAGTGAGTGAGTGAGTGGGTGAGTGAGTGGGTGAGTGGGTGAGTGAGTGGCTGAGTGGGTGAGTGAGTGAGTGAGTGAGTGAATGAGTGAGTGAGTGAGTGAGTGAGTGAGTGAGGTGAGTGAGTGAGAGTGAGTGAGAGTGAGTGAGAGCGAGTGAGTGAGAGCGAGTGAGAGTGAGTGAGTGAGAGTGAGTGAGAGTGAGTGAGAGTGAGTGAGAGTGAGTGAGTGAGTGAGTGAGTGAGTGAGTGAGTGAGTGAGTGAGTGAGTGAGAGTGAGTGAGTGAGTGAGTGAGTGAGTGAGTGAGTGAGTGAGTGAGTGAGTGAGTGAGTGAGTGAGTGAGTGAGTGAGTGAGTGAGAGTGAGTGAGTGTGAGTGAGTGAGTGAGTGAGTGAGTGAGTGAGTGAGTGAGTGAGTGAGTGAGTGAGTGAGTGAGTGAGTGAGTGAGTGAGTGAGTGAGTGAGTGAGTGGAGTGAGTGGAGTGAGTGGAGTGAGTGGAGTGAGTGGAGTGAGTGGAGTGAGTGGAGTGAGTGGAGTGGAGTGAGTGGAGTGAGTGGAGTGAGTGGAGTGAGTGGAGTGAGTGGAGTGAGTGGAGTGAGTGGAGTGAGTGGAGTGAGTGGAGTGAGTGGAGTGAGTGGAGTGAGTGGAGTGAGTGGAGTGAGTGGAGAGTGAGTGGAGTGAGTGGAGTGAGTGGAGTGAGTGGAGTGAGTGGAGTGAGTGGAGTGAGTGAGTGGAGTGAGTGGAGTGAGTGGAGTGAGTGGAGTGAGTGGAGTGAGTGGAGTGAGTGGAGTGAGTGGAGTGAGTGGAGTGAGTGGAGTGAGTGGAGTGAGTGGAGTGAGTGGAGTGAGTGGAGTGAGTGGAGTGAGTGGAGTGAGTGGAGTGAGTGGAGTGAGTGGAGTGAGTGGAGTGAGTGAGTGGAGTGAGTGGAGTGAGTGAGTGGAGTGAGTGAGTGGAGTGAGTGAGTGAGTGAGTGGGTGAGTGAGTGAGTGAGTGAGTGAGTGAGTGAGTGAGTGAGTGAGTGAGTGAGTGAGTGAGTGGAGTGAGTGAGTGAGTGGGTGAGGTGAGGTGAGGTGAGGTGAGGTGAGGTGAGGTGAGGTGAGGTGAGGTGAGGTGAGGTGAGTGAGTGAGTGAGTGAGAGTGAGTGAGTGCGTGTGTGCGTGTGTGCGTGTGGGTGGACGGGCGGGCGGGCGTGCGAGCGCGCGCGCGTGCGTGCGTGCGTGAGTGAGCGGGGCGGGCGGACGGCGGACGGTGGCGGCGGGGCGGGCGGACGTCGGACGCAGCTGAAGAAGTAAAAACCCCACACAAAGATGTGGGGAACAACAGAAAGAGAGAGAGAGAGATAGAGACAAACAGAGAGAAGAGAGAGAGAGAGGGAGAGGGAGAGGGAGAGGGAAAGGGAGAGGGAGAGGGAGAGAGAGACAGAGAGAGAGACAGAGAGAGAGAGAGAGACCCTCTCACTGTGTCAAAATATTCTAACTGGTTTGGCTGGATTTATTCTATCTCTAAGTTTTCAATTTATTCTTACTTTATTTTTGAAGGTTATTGAAATGTGCATTTTCATTTAATTACTCTAAACATTATTCTATCTGCTAGCCCGTTAGTATACTGCCACACAGCTTCGCATCATCAGTAGACTGCTTCGGCCACACTCGGAACCATGGGGAAGCAATTGGGGGAGCATGCCCTGTTCAAAAAGCAGAGACAGTGCTGCGAGAAGGAGCGTGCGGAGCAGGAGAAGTTCCGCGCGGAGCAGGAGAAGCTGAAGGCGCACACAGGTCAGCAGCTCAGGAACCTCTCGAGCAGGTGCTCTTTCCTGAGCCATCACATTGAGGAGTTCAAGGCCGTGATTGCCCAGAAGGGCAAGTAGCTGAAGGAGAAGGAGAAGGAGATAGAGAAGAAGGCCTTGATGAAGAAGGAGCGGAAGGCGACGGACGACGGCGAGAAAAACACGTGGCTGCGTGATGTTTGTGGCTTGTCATATACCCCTTGCGCAAACCATGCTTGAACTTGTCAGCACACCTTCCAAATTGTTCGTGATTTGGCTGGGGCAGCCCAAAAGAAAGGAGGAGCTCAGAAAGGCTTTGGAGGCAGCAGCGAAGGCCGCAGCGCTCAAGAAAGCAGGAGGAGGCCCAGGCGAAGGCCGCCAACAAAAGAAAGCAGGTGCGTCTGAACCAACGTTGTGACATACATGTGTGGCACTGCTGCCCAGCAGTGCAAGTTAGGACAGCCACCACGGCGGCTACGATGAGGATGACGCGCTCCCCGGTCTGGGGCAACTGGTGTGGAGCTGGCCAGCTTGGGCAATTTTGGCAGGCAGCCACAGCATATTGCTCAGCAGATCAAATTGAAGTACTGCAAGGCAAGCAGCTACCACCTGCCAAGCCCACACCTTGCTGCTGCGCCAGTGCTGGTGAAGAGCAATGCGGTAAAGAGCACTGCCCACGGCTCCTGGTCAGACCATGATATGAATGATCCCAAGTTCATCAACAATCCGCTTAGCAAAGGTGGATTTGACACATTGCCTCCCCATGGCTGTGCATGGCGATGGTGGTTCTTTTCAAAGGAACGATTCCATCACTGTCATCAGCATGAGGAGCCTGCTGTCTTCTGCAAATGTGGCGCGCAGCCAGCTACTAAAGTACTGCTTGAACAAGGGTGGTGGCGATGACGAGAACACGATGCACCATATTTTGTCAATTCTGAAGTGAAGCTTCACGCTGACAATAAGCACCCTGAGAAGACCACAACACAGTTGCCCGGCTGCCAAGACAGTTCATATCTTCTACCCGGAAAACGGCCAAGGCCATGGAGCTCCAGCCCGCGTGCGGCAGTTGGAGCGGACGGCGAAGCAGCGCTGTGCTGTGTAGACGCAGAGGAGGAGGCGGCCAGGAAGAAGGCGAAGGAGATCTGCTGGTGCTGCAGCCCACTCTGGCCAGAAGGACATGGACTACCTCCTGCCCACCGCCAGCGAAGACTTCA